CCAGTGGTAGAACCACTTGCTTCAGACCCAGAGGTTCGATTTTCAGTGAGGCCCGATTTTGATATTTGTAAGATTTTTAAAGAGACTCCATCCTTATGAAAGTCTTGTTTTACCTTTAAAAGACTGCCTGGGAAGTGAGACTTTAACAGCATCCTCCTTCCTGCCCTCATTCTCTACTGGACAAAAAAGGTATATTATACTAATTCTTGTAATGAGCTCCCCTGGCTTACCTGGAAGTCTTTAAATAGACTTCGGACGCAGGTTGGCCGTAGTAAGGACAATCTGGTCAGGTGGGGATTCTTGGATGGCTTAAACATGGCGTGCAGGTGCGGTTTTGTTCCCCAGTCCATGAAGCACCTGATGTCGTACCCTGAGTGCCCAAGCAACTGCACTCAGGAGGATTTGATGAGTGCTGCTGACAACGCCACTCTTGTGGTGGACTTTTGGGCTGACACTGTGTAGGTTTTTTGTCGACACGAAAAGAAGAAGAATACTGATTCTTTACCATTGCACCATCGTATATTCGTTTCTAGTGCTGTCCACTGAGGGACAAAGGCTCCTCCCTCAAGGATTTCCACAACGAACCGTCCTGCGCTGCCCGCATCCAGGTGCTTCCAGCGATTTGTTTCTTCTACGTTTATTGGACAGACTGCAAGAGAGTGGAATTCTCATCCATCGTCTGTCTTCCCACTGTAATTTAAACTGGCTGTAGAGTGACAAGATATACCTAGACTGTTAACTTTATTGTAGAACCTGGGGCACAAATCGAGTGAATTCAACATTCTTACCACTGCAGTGACTAGACCACGAAAACCATAAAAAACCTCGCAAAAAAGTGCAATATTATTACCTAACCAGTAAAATAGTCTGCAGATTGGTGACTAAGTTTAGCTTTTACTTTCTGGAGACGGCCATTTTAAAATTCTCCACGGATTTTTGTCTTTATTGACATTCTAAAAGTGTACAAAATTGAAAGTGTCAGACATTCCGCCTTACTGGTGTCTGCAAACATTTTATATGGTCTTAATTACATACATTCTATTCAGTGGAAGTTAATTAATGTGATTTCACTTGCTTGCTGATATTACTTATTAATTACACGGTTTTTGTTGACTTTAATACCATTTGCATGTCGGAAGAGGCCGGTCAGTGTATGTATGCGATATGATTATTACGAATAGTGAATACAATCAAATACTGCACATATAGAATCTGCTACGGGACTATTCCCACCTCTCGTTCCCACCGCTGCAACTCCTGTGTAGCCAGGATCTACAGCTGGACCGCCATAAAAACCCAACCAGTGAAGGTCAAGTTTGTCCCGGGGAAAAGTTAAACTGTCATTGGACCCGTAACGAAATTAATCAGAAGAACATAGGAGTTTATTTATACTATAGGATCTGATACTAAAGTGCAACAGCTTGGGTGCCATATTATTTATCACTTCTGAAGATGCATGCGAAAGAATTCCTTCTGTTTGTTTCTTTCGCCTAACCCGATGAATCATTTAAGTGACGATACCGTTTATAATAAAAAACTTGAAGGAATGAAGTAGGGGATTCACATTTACTTTAGGGCACCCATCATCATAAAATATGATGGGATCATCTCATAAAGGCAGTCCATGAAAATTCATATGATATTCATATGCTTTTAATAAAAATGTAAGGTGGTATAAAGGACTAGCTAGACTTGGCGACTATGTTTTGAATTAGATATAGACTGAAGGACCGAATTCTACGCGAGCATAAACTAAACTGGCTAAGGTTCACAAACCTAAAAATAGAACATCATAACATTGATTAAAGTTGTTCATGTAACAACACACCTAATCAACAATTCGGTTGCGACATCCTCCGTGGGAGGCGTAGCGTACTGCTTGTAGGAGGCGGACGGCTCGTATAGTAGGCACTTGTGTGGTTGTAGGGCTGCCATTTGTCCGCTTTTTCAGTGTTTCTTGTCCGGAGGCTGTCCGGAAAGGCTTTTGACACAATTTGACAGCGTCGCAAATATTGACACAAAAGTTACAAAATTGTTTTTTTTTGCTAGGGTTCACAATATGTACACATAAAAGTGCATTTTGAAATTATCGTCCAGCGTTGCGTCGACAAATTAGGTAGCCCTATGTATGCTATTTTCATCTTATTTATTGACTACGATTATAATCGTTTGTGTAGGTGTATACTTACAGATAATTTTAGGCATTTTCTCTGAATCTGTTATCTGAACTTCAGAAGCTTAAACAACTGGCTTGATTGATTGTCTTGTGAAAAATGATTTTATTTATGCACTAAAAATCATGTTGAGCAGTCCTTGAACCATGCCATGTCAGTTGCCTATGGCAGCTCACAAAGTTACCTTGTAACCTCAATTGTTTCTGCCCACATAATTTAGGATTACTTTGCCATTATGACCCTATTATGATATTACCCTAAACTCTAACGCCCGTATTCACAAACATTACTGTGAGGTCTCACAGTACAGGGTGACACACGAACCAATCACAGAGCTCTATTCAATGCTGTGCGTTCGATTTGCTGCTTCACTTAAGCGATGCTCGTTTGTGAATACCTACGGGATTAAGAATCAACCAGGCACATTATGCTCATCATTGAAATTGTGACTTATTTAGATGTAATAGATGCTATTTTCCAGCAAAAATGGACAGGCTGACGACAGCACATATAACTAAACCCTGTGGCATCTTATGCCATAGTAATGCGGGCTATTTTGCAGCAAAAATTTATAGGCTGTAAATGTGCAGACGATTGTAAAATTCTTCGGTCTTTTTCTTCATATTGAGAGTATTTTTGTCTGCTTATCTTGGAAGTCCGCTTCCATCTGTCGATCTATGAAGGATGTGGATTCCGGCGTTGTTTTTCTACCGGTCGTTGAGTTATTAATAGAATATGAAGTTAACGGATCGCTGGGCACAATTGCACAATTACTAACAAGTTTTTTAATAAGCAAAAACAAACGAAGATAGATTAAAAGTAATTTAAAATATTGGTGTTATAATTTTTAAACTACAAAACGGAATTGAGTCATCTTTGCCAATTTGTGGGATTATTTTAACGTATATAAGATTTCTCAATTACAAAAACTTCTTAATAAGGAAGTTACATTATTCCCATACGTTTTTACCAAGAACCATAGCTACCAGCAAAAAGTCTCTAATCATAAAAATCTAATTCGCAATATCAATCAATAGCTACTGAACAATACCATGAAAACGCCAATACAACGTTATAATGAGCGTATAAATTATAAAGTTACACCACGTTTAATTGTTTCCCATTTATTAACGTAACACCGATCACATTCACTGCTTCACAATTTCACCTGAGAGGTTTCTCACGGTGTTTTCCTCCTTGCTATTCCACAAAAACACTTTCTTTGCAGTTAGCGTCACTCAGAAGTCAGAAGTGAGTAACAGGTGCGAAGAAAAAAACCTTGATAGGAAAGGAAATCGATCGTCGATGAAACGGCGGACGTGGTTGCATATTTATAGAAATGGGATGGGGCGTCTTACAAGTTACATAGTTAAATAGAACTTTAACAATGACAGACTTTGATTGATGCTTTCTCAAGTAGCTTTTACCCGTAAACGAAGATTTAATAAAAAGTGGCCCAAGTCAACATGTATGATATTCTCTTGTCTATACTGAGTTAGCTGGCAACATTTCAGATACTTTCGTCAAATTCCTTTTTCGTCTGAGTAGATTAGGTTGCTTTTTTTCTGACGAAAACGGACTTGGTCAGATTCCGCTTTCGTCAGAATAAAAATATCTGTAGGAATTTTAAGTTGAACTGCATACACGGGTCCCGTATTTTTGGAATGATTCATGAAACACACGACACGACAAATTTAATTAAGTACATATAAGAGCTTTTCTACTAGTAGTAATCTTGGATAGGGCTTCTTGTTTTATCAAAAACTTTATAGTAACTCGGACCACACCCGCCACACTGCAGAAAGTGAACGCATCATTGGCATCATCTAATCAGAATCTACAACGTGCTACAATGACTCAACATCGAGTTAATTGTATCCGAATCAGGCGGTGAATGACCTAATTTTTTATCGCAACACGATTCCGAGGTGTTTATCAACAAGCAGACAAACAGTTTATGTGATAAGAGCTAGAAATAAGGTTATAATACCTAGGTAGCATGGTTTATAATTAGGTATAATAAATAAGTATTGATGTCGCACAGGAAAATTGTTTTAAACATGAATTGATGGCCTCATTTCCATACGAAATTTCAGGAAATTTCAATAGTGTATGTGCCTACCTATCTGTCGATTGTTAGAGTGATTTTGAGCCCGATCCGGATCCGTCAAAATACGGGATTTGAAAAAGTGATCTAGTGCGTAAACTAAGAACTACCACTTAGAAGTTAGATCTATGACTACCAATAACTGTTTTCATAGATTTGGATCGAACGTAGTCGAAATCGCTCCAACAAAGAAAGTTTCAGAAAAATTTGAATGGACAAAAAATACAACTGCAAATAACCTTTCATTTCATTCGTAAAAGATTCACGATCGAACTGTCAGTCAAGCTGAAGCGTGGTAAAAAGGGGCGAAAAAGGCGCAGGTGCGTCCTAATTTACCGGAAAACAAGCATTTTTAAAAGCTAAAACGTGTACGGTTTTAACCTGTCAGTTCTAATGTCTAATGTGTGAATTTTAAATTAAAAACGGTTCCAAAAATTTAATAATTATTAAGGATTTCGTGAGCATTTGGAAAGAAGTTACGTCTTGAAATTATTACTTAATTATTTACCTAATCGTTAATGCGAGCTTAATCTGAAAATAAAAAGCAAAAACGCATTATCCATTATGTATTGTTTTTTTTTACTTTGGTATTCCGAATAAACTAAAAAAAAAATGTAAAAAATGCGGACAAGTTATCCATTGCACCATGATGCTTTTTTAATCATTAGACGACACAAGATTCGAACTTGGTCTTTAATTAGTGATTTCGATTGTTCCAGAAAAAGGACTGTATCGCCGAGTACGATACTAAAGCGGGAACAGAAGTGGCTGCGTATGCTCAACAACTGGGAGGCGTTTATGAGCAAAAACTACAAGAAAGTCCGCGAGAGGTGTAGGAAAGGTAAGCGAATTTCAACCGTATTGTAGAACCTTCAAGGTCGAGTCGAGTAAGTTTTTGGACTTCATCATCATCAAGGTGTGTAGTCCAGTGTTGCCAACGAAGTATCAAGCTCCCCACCAGAATTGACCTCTAAAACCACCAGAAATCCACTAATAAAAATCGCACCATCGTAAAAATCGCTAAATTTTCCACTATTTTTTGTCTGGCAGATTTGTGGTCATTTTGAAAGAAAACAATATTGTAGATTTATCTTATTGTTATTAGGTAGGTACTTTNATTTATTGTCATTTTTCTTAGGTCTCTTTACTCGCTAGCTCGAACAGTGTTGCCTGCACGATGAAATTAAACTCCAAAAACGATACGAGTGGACCATATAATCGTTGTTCCAATGTTTAAGAAAAAAAAGCCTTAATTCTTAAATTCCACTAGATAAATCCACTAGCCACTAAAACCCATATTTGTCCGCTAGTAGGCAAGTCAAAACCACCAGATTTAGTGGAAAATCCACTAAGTTGGCAACACTGGTGTAGTCTCCACAGGAGCACGACCCTCTTTTGTTTTCCCAACGCTGACCAGACAGGTTGGGGATAGGGTTGCCAGGTCCAAAAACATAAACCCGGACTCGGTGCTTAATTTGGCTGGACATGAATGGATATTCTGTTCTGACTTTCGACTGGGACGGCAACCACATAAAAAGCCTACCTAACAAAAGCCGGACAGCCCGAACAAGATAATATTTACCCGGACAAGCGCGTAAAAGCCAAACATGTCCGGCTAAAGCCACCAGGCAACCCTAGTTGGGGAGGCCTGATGTTCCTATATTTCTCCCTTAGTCACCTTTTACGACATTCACGGGAAGAGTGGAAATGGACCTTCTACTTTGCCAGAACCGCACGATTTATGTTTGAATTTAGTGTCAGTATAATTTGCATTTTCATCCAGCAAGATACGAGAATTTCATTTAGACGGCCACGTATCTTTGTGGTTTGTATGCCGAAGGGAAATCCCGCATAGTTTAAAAATGCACAAGCATATTAAAAGCTGAGTCACATGAATTTTTGAGACGACAAATAGCCCAATTTTGGTATTGGAATGCCGATTCGACCATCGCTAGTTTCTTCGTCGATTACTGAACTATTGTAGTAAACCCAGTTTTAACACAAGCATATTATTATTATAATTTAGCTTACCTGCAAGCCTAAGGCACAGAACAGACGGTGAAACGCAACTGCAACGAAACTGCTAGTTAGGTACTTTTGAGTTGCATCTAAGTTTCCGCCATAGCGTCCGTTGAGAGACCACACATGATGCGATCAGTTTGAAACTTTCAGTTTCAGTTTCATTCATCAGAATCATCAGAAAGTTGCAGTTTCGTTGCAGTTGCGTTTCACCGTCTGTTCTGGGCCTTAGATGTACGTCACTATAAAAGCCAAAGAGCGTCACAAATGACGCAATAAATATTGGCATTATATTGTTTATTATACATAACTTTTAACAATAAACTTCTACATTAATCTATATTTTATCACAAACTAATCTTTATCTCCTTCTTTCCAGGTATTCCAGCATCAGTCCGGCCAAAAGCGTGGCTCTACCTATGCGGTGGCCAGCTACTTCTGGAGAAGCACCCGAACGAATACGAGGAGCTGCTGCAGGCGCCTGGGGACCCCAAGTGCATGGACGACATCAGGAAGGACCTGCACAGACAGTTCCCATACCACGAGATGTTCATCAGGGAAGAGGGAGTTGGGTGAGTGTTGATTTGGAGGTTTTGAAGCAGTAGAGATTAGGTCTTGGTGTCAATATAGTGTCCGACATTGGTAGAGATGGGTTTCCACCTGAGTAAAAACCTACATGTGTTAAAATAAATACCCGTTTCATTCCACCCAGGGGTGATTATAGCGGGTAAAAAACAAATTATTTCCAGCCAGCTTAAACTAAAACGTCAACATTTGATGATATTTCAGTCCACTTTCACATAATCTCAGATTAAACCTTCATTTCAATATAGTGTCCGACATTGAATCTTTTGTCAATCAATATAGTGTGTGACATTAATCCTAAGGTCAATATAGTGTGCGACATTGAATCTTTTGTCAATCAATATAGTGTGTGACATTAAATCTTATGTGAACTTAAAATCGCGTCTGAGGTAGAAAAGCAATAAAAAATTGCAATCAGAAGATTGGAAACTCGTTTTCCTCAAAGTCACCAAATGTTTTTCTTGCTTGGTTTTTATCATTTGTTTAATGAGACTACATATTTGTAAGTAGTCTAAGTAGGTACCTACTATTAAATTAAAAGGTATTGATTGATTATAAAGTACGAGTTGGTTGTACTGATAGTATAAAATGTGGTAATATTCACGATAGCCAAACATTATGTGACATGTTGTAGCATTAAATATCAATGAATCATTTGAAATATGTGGAATCCTATTTGTTCACTATATTTGCTTTAGCGTTATCAAACACTTGTCAAATGAGAATGTACACACGGCCCATCAAGGTGTCACAATTCAACTGCGAAAGTAACTCTTATTCTGTTTGCAATTGGGTCGACATTTTGAACTCTGTGGTGTATAAATCCAGTGTCGATTACCTACAAAATCAATTGGACGTAATGTATCAATTCGTCAGAGTAAATAAATTACTTCCTGCAAGTCAAAGTTGAGGTTAATGATGGTGTCCATTTACAGATGTCATTGTTCTTTGACACTACAGGAAATGTACTTTGTCACTTGAGGATGACAAATTTTCAAGGACATTTTGGTTAGTCCTATTAATAGAACATCGGAAAACATGGTCCGTGTACTACCAGTAGGACAACGGGCAATAAATAAATAAATATCCTTGGACATTTTACACTGCGGCTCTCCCAAAATAAGCAAAGCTTGTACTATGGGTACTAGACGACGGGATAAACATACTTATATACTTTTTTTTTTGTAAATACATACATATTATACATAGAAAACACCCAGACCTGTCACAGAAATTAAAATTCATCATTTCAATTTCGGCCCGGCCGGGAATCGAACCCGGGACCTCTCGGAATAGTAGTCCGTTCTGAACCACTACACCAATCGGCCGACTATAAGGAAACTTCCTTTTGGGTTTTCTTGTCTTGTTAGGGCTGTTTTCCACCAAAGCGAGACGAGACGAAAGGAGACGAGACGCGTTATTTACACGTCTTGTCACCCCTAAACCTCAGTAGAAATGGTTGAGTACTCTGCTCCGCTCCGCTAGCTATGTCGCTTGTCTCCGCTTTGGTGGAAAACGGCCTTAACCATTTTATCATTTTGGTCATTCGGTTATAGTTGGTTATACAATTGGACTCTTTTGATTCGGAGGTCCTGCGGGGCTACTCCGAATCACTGTTTACGTAGTTCCGGGTCTATCTGTCACCGTCGCTCGCGCTGACATCTCCCTCTGTGTGAGAGGGATGGCAACATTCGAAACTTAAAAAAAAAAAAAAAACATTTATTCAATATCTTTGAAGTTAACGTATTGTTGCAAGTGGCTGGGGTCTCCTTTTAAGTATAATACCTGGGTTAGGAGGCCCCGCACTTTCTTAAAGTTACAAAGATACATGTTGAACAAGCCACAAAAACTCACAAGTACGTATTTCATAATAAGGTATTTTTTCAAAAGTAAGGCTAAGTGTGACTTTTAGGATAACGTTTTTCGGAGTAACCCCTCTGGGTTCGAATCCCACATGAAACATAGAAATTAAAAAGTATTTTTTCACTTGCTTATGAAGCGTATTATGCTTGATTGATGCGATTGAGTAATATCACTCGATAAAAGCAGAAACAATATTAGTTTAATAGTAATAAACAAAATAATATAATCAATAATATTCTTCGATACAGGAAATTTATAACCGTTAATTGTAATTATTATGATTATACGAATGAAATTTAATAAACGAATTGAATTTTTTATTTTATTCTTCATAACTACTTGTAGGTTGTTAAGTAGGATATTAATTTACTTAATTAATAAGAACATTCGCAAACACGTTTGACAGTAAAAATGATAATGGTAAAAATCATAATAATAAACATTTTAGCGTTTTTATTAATACAAACCTCAATTTGTCTGACTACAAAACAGGAATTCCATAGAATGTCTGACATCCTTTGCTCAGACACAAATGATGATGACGTCACATTGATGACGTAAAACGACACAATTTAAATCCATTTTATCATTCTTGACCAGACTACCAGTTTTTGCTGTTGCCGTCAAAATATGCGGTTTCATAATTAATTAGGTAAATCTCTTCAAGCTACAGTTGCCTAATAGACTTACATAATGAGCATTTAACATTGTATGATAAGTTAAGACTTGCATATTTTTAGTCTAGTTCCTTATTTATTTATAAACAAAAACATCAATAAAGTTAGAATACATAACAATAAGGAATTACCATTTTTATTAAGCACGAAATAACATATTTCCGATTATCACGTTGATTGATTTTTTTATTCAAACTTGCTGCAACATTCGTGCGAAACTACTACTAACCCTGTTTTTAAAAAAGACACGTCTGGGATACGAACCCGGGCCTCGGATCGTGTAGGGCTCATTCTCTAACTTTGACTACTAATAAATTCCATGAAAATGTTATTGAATTGAATATTCAGAATACCTATTCTATTTCCTTATGAAACTGTGCGTCTAACTACCCGGTTTTAATGACTTGTATACAAAATACATGAAAAACTTTCACATTTTTAACGCGAACTCTATTAGGTACCTCTGATTTTCAAGACTATGCATAATACTGCATTGGCGGAATTTGATCTTGTAACAGCAGGTGCGAGTTGTATCGAATCTCGCCAGAGCCAAATGATAATGTGATGAGCAGAGCACTAGCCATTAATTAATAATAATAATGATTTATTTCTCACACAAAGTGCAGAACAAAAAAACATTTAATGAAAACACATTAATGGGTGTGTGAGACCAGTGCCTGAGCTAGGTAAATGAATACCTGTGTTACAACATTAAAAATAATAATTAATTAAGGTACCATTGTAATATATTCCCAAATTCATGTGTATTATGTGATATTGTGCTGTGTACTTTATTAAATAAATAAATAAATTTTCTGTCCTTTTAATAGGTGCGATTTTGCTATAAAAATATTTATCCCAACTAATATTACAAATGCGAAAGTAACTCTGTCTGTCTGTCTGTCTGTTACGCTTTCCCGCTTAAACCTCTCAACCGATTTTGNTAGAAACGCACCGAGCGCGGTTTGTATGTGAGCGCGCCAATATACATACGTATGCGGCGCGCTCACATACAAACCGCGCTCGGTGCGTTTCTATGAAGATGACCTACTCATTTGTATTTACTCTGGTTCAATTCCCACATGAAGTATAGAAATTAAAAAGTAATTTTTCACTTACTTAAGAAGCGTATAATGCTTGATTGATGCGATTGAGTAATATCACTCGATAAAAGCTGAAAAAATATTAGTTTAATAGTAATAAACAAAATAATATAATCAATAATATTCTTCGATACAGGAAATTTATAACCGTTAATTATACGAATTAAATTTAATAAACGAATTGAAGTTTTTATTTTATTCTTCAAACTACTGGTAGGTTGTTAAGTAATATTAATTTACTTTTAATTAATAAGAACATTCGCAAACACGTTTGACAGTAAAAATGATAATGGTGTAATAAATCATAATATAAATAATTTTTAGCGTTTTTTTTTTAATACAAACCTGAATTTGTCTGACTACAAGACAGGAATTCTATGGAATGTCTGACATCCTTAATGCTCAGACACAAATGACGATGACGTCACATTGATGACGTAAACGACACAATTTGAATCCATTTTAGCATTCTTGTCCAGACTACCAGTTTTTGCTGTTACCGTCAAAATATGCAGTTTCATAATTAATTAGGTAAATCTCTTCAAGCTACAGTTGCCTAATATACTTACGTAATGAGCGTTTAACATTGTTTGTGTGATAAGTTAAGACTTGCATATTTTTACTCTAGTTCCTTATTTATTTAGAATTAAAAACATCAATAAAGTTAGAATACATAACAATAAGGAATTGCCACTTTTATTAAGCACGAAATAACATTCATTCCGACTATTACGTTGGTTGATTTTTTTAATCAAACTTGTTGCAACACTGATTTTCAAATTTGGATACGTCTGGGATATGAACCCGGATCTCGGATCGTGTAGGGCTATTTTCTAACCATAACCATAAGCCTAGGCGCAGACCACTGATTTTTAGTTTGAAAATTATAAATAACTTGAAAAAATCGAACTGCCTAAGGCGGGAATTGAACCCACGATTTTTAGTTGGCCGATAGGTGGGCCCGATTTTAATTTGTACCAAATTGATGTAATGTGCGCACTTTCATACATCTCCATACTGATGAACAGCCCGACCCAACTATCGGCCAACTAAAAGTTGGTGGTCTGCGCCTGTAGGCTTACTTTGACTACTAATAAATTCTACGATGTTATTGAATGTTATTGAATCCTCTATGTCCTTATGACGAAACTGTCCATCAAACAACTTGTTTTAATGACTTGCATACAAAATACATAAAAAAGCTTTCACATTTTTAACGCGAACTTTTTTTGATATTAGGTACCTCTGATTTCCAAGACTGCATAATACTGCTTTGGCGGAATTAGATCTTGTAACAGCAGATGCGAGTTGCATCGAATCTCGCCAGAACCAAATGAATGATAATGTTTGTGATGAGCACTAGCCATTAATAAATAATAATATGTAGTAATGATTTATTTCTCACACAAAGTGCAGAACTAAATACATTTAATGAAAACACATTAATGGGTGTGTGAGACCGGTGCCTGAGCTAGGTAAATGAATACCTGTGTTACAACATTAAAAATAATAATTAATTAAGGTACCATTGTATTATATTCCCAAATTCATGTGTATTATGTGATATTGTGCTGTGTACTTTATTAAATAAATAAATAAATTTTCTGTCCTTTTAATAGGTGCGATTTTGCTATAAAAATATTTATCCCAACTAATATTACAAATGCGAAAGTAACTCTGTCTGTCTGTCTGTCTGTTACGCTTTCCCGCTTAAACCTCTCAACCTATTTTGATGAAATTTGGCATAGAGATAGTTNTCCATGGACGCGGGAGGAGGCGGCAGCGGGCGGGATTCTGCTGTCGTTTGTGGGGGCGCGGTTTTCGCACCCCTCTTCTTCTTCTTGCCCTTGACTGGCGTGGGGTCATCCGCGGCCTTGGGGGCGACGGCCGTTGCCTTTCGAGCGGTGGCTGCCACTTGAGGGGCAGTGGCTGCCGCCTTTGGGCCGGCGTTCGGAGCCTTTTTAGGTGCCGGTTTCAGGGGGGCCTTTGACCTTGTGTTGGCCGAAGGTGTCACAGGAGGCAGCGGAGGGAACTCGGTCTCCATAGCTGTTTCTCCGTTGTTGTCCCGATCCGTTGCCAACGGAGGACGGAGCCGCTGCTCCGGGAGGAGGCGTCCCTCTAGCGCCTCGAGACGCGCGTTGAGCATGACGCCGACCTTTTCTTTGGCATAGAGATAGTTTGAGTCCCGGGAAAGAACATAGGATAGTTTTTATCCCGGTTTTTGAAACAGGGACGCGCGCGATAAAGTTTTTCTGTGACAGACAAAATTCCACGCGGGCGGAAAGCTAGTTGTACAATAAAATGAAACAAACAAGACTAAACTAATTTATTGTCACGTATTAGTGGGCGTAGTCGGCATCAAATAACGCCTGATAGCCGATGATTCCCTGATTCATATTAACTTTGCTGTTATGACGTCATTAATGCTGATGACTGACAATCCGAAAGATTGTGGTCAGTAGTGCGTCATTTAGTATCCCTTACGGAAATCCTACGTAAAGGGAAGTCCCAAATCGTAAAATTCTAAACGTTTAGTTTATAATACGAATAGTATTCGAAACACGCAAAACTAGTGACTGATTTTGCTGAAACTACAAGGATTAGCTTATACATCAAATTATCTTGTTCCTTAAATAAAAATAAAACTAAGCAAGTATGTCGACATTATTATGTATGTAATATTCCTTATTGCTATGACAAAAGCAAGGAAAAAGAAGTGCCACACTAAACATGTTTGCATCATTGCATCTTAGTTATTATCCAGTTATTTTAGCACATGTTTTCAACTTAGTTGATGCAGTTGCCTCAATTCAGCGTCACTTTTTTTGTAATATCGCAGCTAAGGCCCGTCATACACGGAACCCCTTGAGCAGTCGTACAGTCACGACGAAATTTCACCGTGCTGCCAACCGCTCGAAGCTGTCACAACTGCTCGAGCGTTTCCATGTATAATACCTACTGTAGTTTGCTATGCAGTCGCAGCTTGAAGTTGTCCGTCTATGGCGGGCCTAGATGAAAATTCCGACCATATTATAATTGAAAAAAGTTCAGTGTGTCTGTCTGTGTGTAATTTATGCCCGTTTTCACCATCAATCCCTAATTTTTAAGTGACCCCTATGATGACACATAACAGGAATTTTGTTGTCATAGGGGTCACTTAAAAATTAGGGATTGATGGTGAAAACGAGCATTAGTCTAAACCTTAATCAGTCACCTTACAAGTTAAATAATCAATTACTTTCTGTTTTCCAGTCAGCAAGAGCTGTTCTCAGTGCTGAAAGCGTATTCGGTGCTGAACCCGAAGGTGGGATACTTCCAGGCGCAGGCGCCGGTGGCGGCCTTCCTGCTGATGCACATGCCGGCTGTGCAGGCCTTCTGGTGCCTCGTCAGCATCAGCGATAAGTACCTGAGCGGGTACTATAACCCGGGGCTCGAGGTGAGTGAATAAACTAGAATGTCCAAATGTTCCTGCTGATGCACATGCCGGCTGTCCAGGCCTTCTGGTGCCTCGTCAGCATCAGCGATAAGTACCTGAGCGGGTACTACAACCCGGGGCTCGAGGTGAGTGAATAAACTAGAATTTATTGATTTCTGATAACGCGTCAGCAACGTCATCAAGCTTAATCAGAACAACGTTGTGCCTATATTTAAACAAGCAGTTCAGTCGGTAAAACTTATAATGGAACAATATCTGGTCAAGCGTAAGCATCGTTCTTAAGCACTCTAGTGAAGAATCTTCGTTGTATGTACCTGATAATTTATAATGAAATTCCGTAGGGAGTGAGAACAAGAATCAATAATGTGTCAAGGTAGTAGTAATCATTTCTCTCTATCAAATAGGTTATTTATGCAATTAAACCCTGTAAAATAATTGCTTCTGGAGCGCGCGCGTGACTCTACCTGGCAGTGTAAAGACAATCAGCATAGTATATGAGCGGGTGACCCTGAACGTAGCATGAAATTATCCCTGATTATGATTACTCATGTTTCTGATTGCATATCCTTAGTTGCCCTTTACCCATCCACGGAAGCCTGGGAGTGGTCCTAATTCTAATATCCTGGAGCTACAAGACAAATTTTAAAAAGTTGTGTTAATATGTCGTGCTTCTGCTAAAATCAGACGGCAAAAGTTAATGAGTGCTATTATCTCCAGGTGCTCCAACGCGACGGTGACATCCTCCACGCGTTGCTCCGGCGCACAGCGCCAGCGGTTCACCGGCACCTGACCAAGCACAAAGTGGAGCCGGTGCTGTACGCGACCGAGTGGTTTCTGTGCGCGCTCACCAGGACGCTGCCCTGGGACAGCCTGCTGAGGGTCTGGGACTGCTTCCTTTGTGAGGGAGTCAAGGTAAGGACCACCAGAAAGATATGCCCTAGTAGAAATAACTGTTCTAATGTCCCCAAGGAGTCAGGTAGCAAGTAACTGGGACAAACAGTTTTGCGCTCATCAGGAAATTTTTCTAGGACAGCCTTTTAAGGGTTTGGGACTGCTTCTTATGTGAAGAGGTCAAGGACCTAGTAGACATGACTGGTCTTTTTTTAAAGAGTTAGGTACTTCCAAAGACTTCTATGTACCACTATGGGTATGCTCCCTATGTGAGGGAGTCTAGGTAGCGACCAGCTGGACAATAGTTTTGCTCTGATCAGGATACTGCCCTGGGACAACCTGCTAAAGGTCTGGGACTGCTTCTTGTGTGAGGGAGTCAAGATAAGACCTGGTAGATCTAACATCTTTCTAACATCCCAAAGGTCAAAAATCAAGGTGGTGACCAATTAGATAAGTTCTGCTCTAACCCAGGCTGCCTTGGGACAGCTTATAGCAAGGTAACGACCAACTGAACATTTATTAAATATTCCATATTCATATGTTTTATTAATGTACAGTTAGTACGGAAAGATTTTTTATTAAGCGTAGCGTATGAACTAGGTAAAACCTGAGGGACGAACCTCATTACAATATTGATCTACCGTTATTCAAAGCGGTTCAAATCCCATGGCAACTATACATATGGGTAAATGGGTTGACACGCTTTTAGACAGACAATCAGTAGAGGCTTCATTATAGCTTCTGTACTCTTCGAGTACGGAATCCCATGCAATAAATTAAATTAAATAATGAAAATTCTTCCCAGGTGCTGTTCAAAGCCGCGCTAGTGATCCTGGCTGGTGCGTTAGGCCCGGCCAAAGTCCGCAAGCGAGCCCACGGCCTCTGCGAGAGCCTCGAGGTGCTTCGCCACCCGCCCGAGGCAGTCCTGGCTGAAGAATACCTGATGTACCACATGCAGCGCCTCAACCTCACTGAAGAAGACTTCGAGTTTGAGCACCAGCGCCAGACCGCGCGCCGCAGAGCCCTACCCAGTAGAAGGTAAGCCTGGGTCTGCTCTAGTTATTTCTACTACACTCGACATCAAATAAATCGCACCTCCCGCGACATGCATTTTCAAACGTATGCATCCCCACTTCCCACCAATATTGGCACTATTTAAAAGCCTAGTTCTAAACTTCATTTCATTAAAGGAAAGGTTTTTACCCCAAAAATGTGTCTTTAGAAGGATCCAGAGTCACTACTTCAAAAAATAGGTAGTTACGCTTGAGCCACCTTTTATGGCTATAAAACTGTTAAGTTGGGATTAATCGCTATCCATCTGTTAAAGAGGACACGTGCGATCATTATTTGGTTTTATATCCATACAATTTGGTCTAATTGATCCGAGAGGTGAGCCCAAAGTGAGGTCTTTTTTCAAGTCACATTTATAGTATATGTTAATCATTTATTAAGAAATTAAATGTGTTTTTCTTTAAGGATATTTATTAAGCTTTCAAATAACACTAATATTGTTGGGGCACCATGATTGTGTCAGGAGAAAATCTTTAAATTTCGCGTCGCGGAAGGTGCGGTTTATTTGATGTTGAGTGTATTAGCATATTCGGAGGACTGCATCATGCAGGGTCTGACCTCACTGGAGAATGAGCACCAGCGACAGTAGAAGCCTTTCCTAGTAGAAGGTAAGCCTTAGGTCTGCTCTAGTTCACTATTAACAGGTCCTGAGGAGTGCCTCCACCTCATCCAGGTCATAGTTCGAGCATTTACACTCTGCCTAGCAGGAGGTGAGTTCTTTTGGTCTATTTGTATTTCCTGAGGCCATATGCAGCGTCTAAACCTCACTGGAGAGGATGCACCAGCCCCAATTCTATCCCACTTTCGAGTTCGAGCACCAGCTCTAAACCACGCTAGCAGGAGGTGAGTTCTTTTGGTCTATTTGTATCTCCTGAGGCCACATGCAGCGTCTAAACCTCTCTGGAGAGGATGCACCAGCCCCAATTTTATCTTTCGAGTTCGAGCACCAGCTCTAAACCACGCTCTCACGCACAGGCTCGAGCTGTATTCCGCTCTAGAGCCTCTAGGAGTCTTGGCTGAGGAATACCTCATGTACAGGGAATGCAATCCCGACTCGAGATTGCAAATTCGAGATCCCGCGAGATTAGAAATATCAATCCCGCGGGATCCCGGAATTTTCGGGATCCCGTCTAGTTTAAAAAAAATAATAAATTTGGATGACTAAAAAACCTAATAAACTTTTAGATTAATATTAAAGAATCTTACCATCCAAAAATAATTATCAGGCTTTAAGGAAATTAACATAGGTAAATTAGGTAATCAAAATAATAAACATATTTCAAAGGAATTAGGAAGTAGTTACCTAAGAAGAGTGATTTTGAAAATGACTTCTTAAAAAAAATAGGGTATTAATAGTATCATCTGCTAAACGGCATCTTAATGTCCTTTGCAATGTAACCCGCTGCTGAGAATGCCCTCTCCGACTCAACACTGGTTGGCAATAGCGTTGCGAACCAAATATGCAAACTGAAAAAATCGCCCCCTTGTTCCCCCGCACACAAATAAATCCATTTCTATTTTTATGGTAGACTCTAATTTGTCTAAGCTCGTGTACGTGGATATACGTACAAAAGGACTTTTAGACGCTCGCAGAGTTTCTTCTAATTCCTCTTGAATCCCAAATCCCGTCAATCTCGAACGGGATCTCGTCATATGATGTGTCGGGATTGATCCCGAAAAACTACCCGAGATCTCGCGAGATCGGAATCTCGCGGGATCGGGATTGCATTCCCTACTCATGTACCACATGCAGCGCCTCAACCTCACTGAGGACTTCGAGTTTGAGCACCAGCGCCAAACCGCGCGCCGCAGAGCCCTACCCAGTAGAAGGTGAGAATTATCTATTTATCTTCTCTAGTGCCTGAGAAATGATGCATTTTACCTCTGCGGAGGATGCAGCAGCCCCAATTTTGTCCTACGTACCTTACGAGTTCGAGCACAGGAGATAGACTGCTCATTGCCATGCAAGAGGTAAGCTCTGGAGCTGCCCTAGTTCTCTCTACTGTTAGAATGTCCCGAGAATTGCCTCATGCGGAATCTGAACCGCACTAGTAGTTCGATCACCAGCTTCAAGCAGTAAGGTGGTCAGAAACCAGTCATTTTTTCTCACCAATACATTTTTTTTTTACTAATTGAAACCCAGCTAGAAGAACAAATCTTGCTAGGAAGGCACGTTGGGCAGTTCAGATTTTTTTCAAAAGTTTTTGTTTTAGCGATTATTAATAATGTAATAATGGATTATTTATTAGCGTTTGTAACGTATGAGAGTTGAGGCAAACGAAACAATGCTATGACGTAATTACTACACCACAATAACAACCAATTTATCATGCTTTTACCCTAAATTTTACCGCTTTATATAATCTAACTTATATTAATTTTATTTCCAGTGGCAGCTGATTCAGCGACTGCTCGTACAAGCGTTATTCGAAGAATAACGCCAGAGACATATTCCACACTCTCTGAGTACGTGCAAAAATGACTGCCGAGCTATTGTGTACCTTAAGTGCTTTGTGATACGGATGTGCGGACGACGTGCGGACCAGACCAAACGATACGACTGACAAAGTTTAGTGTTAGAAGTAAACGCGAATTTCTTCTACGACGAGACTCAAAATTCAACCTTAATGACATACAGTCAGCGTCAGATAGTTCGAGACGCCCAAAGTGGCCAAAAAGATAACACAACATTATTCCAATTGTAACAAAGACGTGTTGCGAACTTATTGCCTACTTTGGGTGTCACGAATTATTTGACGCTGACTGTACAAATTTTTATTTTATGTGTATTATTTTTATTAGATTATTAAATCCAGCACCTTATTTCAATATTATTCTGTTAGAATTTGAATGATAGATACAGTGAGATTTAAATTAAAAATTTCCCGCTTTATTTTTTCAATTGCTTTTATCTCTTTCGCTCTTCGAGCATGTGTGTAGGATAGGGAGAGACAACCATCCGTCAGTAGAAGCGATTCGTGTTATAGTGAGGAGATTATTGTGTATAAAATTGTCTTAGGAAAGACGTTTCCATATCACAGTGATGAGGACATTGATATAAATACGTAAAATTCAATAAACAACTATAGAAAAGTGTTCTAAATTCAGTAGATTGTGAACCGAAAATTTGTGATACCGTTACTAGAAACTGTAGTTCAGAGTGATCTAAAATTCCAATAGTGTGGACTAAGCCTAGGGGCAGACCACCGATTTTTAGTTGACCGATAGTTGGGTCGGGCTGTTGATCAGTATGGAGATGTATGAAAGTGCGCACATTACACCGATTTGGTATCGGCCGATTCTTCATACAAATTAGAATCGGGCCCAACTATCGGCCAACTAAAAGTCGGTGGTCTGCGCCTAGGCTAAGAGTAGGCGCACACCGTTGATTTTTCGTCGGCCGATAGTTTAGTCGGGCAGTTGATCAGTATGGGCATGTATGGGAGTGCGCACACTACGCCGATTCGATTTGGCCGATTCTTCATACAATTTAAAATCGGGCACAACTCCAACTAAACTCGGCCAACTAAGAATCAACGGTGTGCGCATACTCTAAATGTGTGTATATTATGAGTTGTTGACGCGACTGTACCGTGGGATGCACAACATAGTATTATACTTTAATACCTTGTGTTAAAGTTCAAATTATTACTAGTTCTAAATCTGCTGAACACTGTATTGTAACGGCCAAATCTACGACTGATGTATGATGGAACTTATTGGCTTTGTGTGAAAGTATGAAAGTGGCAACTATAGATTCAATTTGAGCAAATTAAGCATCAAGCAAAAAGGAATCTTATGTTCTTGGCATAAGGTACATATTCCTCGTATAACTTCTTCAAAAAAAGGAGGAGGTTCTCAATTCGATTACATTTTATGTGCGAAAATGAACCTTAAGTCTACAATATAAGGTGAATATTGCCTTGGTGCTACTTTAACGCGTGTTGCATGCACATCAGCTCACGCGCACCAGCAATTGCTATATCAAGTCCTTGTCAAAATATTGTAAATAGTATTTGTAATTTCACAAAGTGTTTTAGTAGATTCTTGCTTGGTGTACTGGCTGGATTGGTTTTGAGCAGGTTATATACCTGTAATATTTTCTTGAACTGTCTAAACCATGTTTATTGTTGGAGTAATATTAAATTCGCAAAAATCTTTTTAGCATATTGAGCGTCGACTTTGTAATAAAACCGAAATAATTCAATGATACGATTGTCCTTTCATGAATGATGATTTGGTGAATGATTGTATATCTAAAAATATTCAAAAAAAAAAATTAAATATGAAGAAATATTTACTAAATACATAGTCCTATTTNAGAGTCTTCTTGGCAGATACCGTACATGCTTTATTACGAAGCGTAGTCATAAATTAGTTAAGTTTTTTATGTTTGTATCTCGAATTTATTTACGATCGTTAACTGGGACTCCAGATCATCTATCTGGAGATAATCTCAATTGCCTATAAAATACTTTCTTGATATTAAATAGAAAATCCATACCAACCGGTCAATATGTAAATCATTTGGCCCCCGCCTACGTTTAGCAGTGTAGACGTCCTATGGCTGAAATTAATGATGATGATCAAAAGAAAATGTTTAATAATAAATGATAGGATACATAATAAAATTGTAAATAATAATATCCAATAATTCGCAGCATTCAATCTGGCACATAATGGTGTCAAATTGTTTATTCAATGAGTAAAAATATTTAAAGATAAATATTATTTGGTGAGTTCATTTCGAAAAACTTTGCTTTGACAATTAATGTAAAAAAAATGTAGCCACATGTTTAGAAAGTATTTTATTCCGAGTTAACGTACAACAGTATTGCGTTTGCCTCGTGCCTACTGCGTTGAGAATGTGTGCGTGTGCTAGATATAGTCTGTTCTTCACTGTAAATCCTATTTATTTTTGTTCTTTGTTTTTACATATTTAGTGCAATCTATACGGTGTTCTGGGAAGAGAACTTTCCCATATATTCTTGTATAAAACCAACATTTTTGTCAGAATATCGTAAAGTTTTGTAGAAATTAAGCAAACTTATCAAGACGTGAAGGAAATGTGTATAAAATATTAATAATAACATGTGATAGAGATTGTTATGTATAATAATTACATATCTCCAAATATTGTGTAAATAAACCACGTTTATCAAATCAGAATAATCTCAATAATAATAATAACAACACTTAATTCTTCTACGGAAAGTACAATTTAGAATAACAGCGTATTATGAAGTTTGTGATTTCAGAACATTATAAATAAATATTTTTTCTAATACAGTATGTTAACAGAACCTCGCTTAAAACAGAACTATTTAAATTATGTAAATAATATTATCTTGAGAAGGTTTTAAAATACATTAATTATTTAATTCCGAGCTGAGAGGTTTCAGTCAGTATTTTCAATATTACAAAACAGAATATCTGCCTACTTGATTTTGATTACATTAATATAAATCATATATAGAAATATGTGAGTAGTGTTCTGCCCTCGAAAGCTGAAAATCGGTATCTTGAAAGTTTATTTGAGATTTCCACAATTGCACATGATGGCTTGGTGGTTCGCTTAGCTGTCGCGAGTTCGAACCCCTTTGGGGCTATAGTGTACTAGTGTAGTTATATTTTTATCTAAGTTTTTAGTATGTTTTTGTGTAACCTAGTCTCAGGCTTTGCGAGATTCTTAGCTTCGGGGCTAGGTGTAAAGAAAAAAATAAATACAAGATACCGTATTTTAGCTCACGCGGGCAACGTCGGAAGGTGCCAAATAATACAAATCTTGCAACTTCAAATAAATAGAATATATTTCGCGGTGTGTTTCAAGATTGTAGTTGTGTAGTAAAGTCAGTATTCATTTACATTTCATGGACGATTTGATTAGGTCTATGTATTATTTAATTTTGTTGTAAAGTTTATGAACGCTATTTAGATTGGATGTAATACATTATCACAGATACCGGGTGTAAGGAAACGAAAAAACTTGACTGACTTAAAACCATGTAATATTCAAAATCATTCCATAGATTTTTTTGTCTATTTTTATATTCAACGACATTAGGATTATGTTAAAATTTTGTGAGAAAAAGTCCGATTAGAAAATCACAAATATTTCTTTTCAACACGAAACTTACACCCGGTGTAATTTAAAAATATGTATAATATTTTATTTAATTAATATTTTCTTTACTACTTTTCATTTTTAACTACACAGTGCAAGAACGAAAACAAGAGATCATTATTTTTTTACATGATGTAACAGAGTACCCAACTTATTTATAACATTTCAACCGGGTGTTGTTTTATTAGTTATCTTATTATTGGATTATTCTACTGTTGAAATACGTTCCTCTCTATGGGACCAAAATTACCTTCGAATGACTAATTGGTTGTATGTAAGCAGCAGAATCATCTAAAAAGAAGCTAACTAATAAAGTATAGGTCTATCTTAACTCACTCAGTGCCCGAGGTAAAGCGGTACGGGAGAGGTGACATTGACATATTGTGACGTGACGAAGCATACAGGGTGTCCCAGAATGGGTGAATCAAACTGATAGGGGAGGTAGCTCTACTAATGTACTATCCTTAAAAAGTATGCAAATAAAGCACATAAGGACACAATTTTTTTTTTAANATTTTTATGTAAGTTTTTAGTATGTTTTTGTGTAACCTAGTCTCAGGCTTTGTGAGATTCTTAGCTTTGGGGCTAGGTGTAAAGAAATAAATAAATACAAGATACCGTATTTTAGCTCACACGGGCAACATTAGAAGGTGCCAAATAATACAAATCTTGCAACTTCTTGTTTCAAGATTATAGTTGTGTAGCAAAGTCAGTATTCATAAACATTTCATGGACGATTTGATTAAGTCTTATGTATTATTTAATTTTGTTGTAGTGTATGAACGAACGCTATTTAGATTGGATGTAATACATCACATTTACCGGGTGTAAGGAAACGAAAAAACTTGACTGACTTAAAACCATGTAAGCACGGTAAATGTAAGTTTCAAAATCATTCCATAGATATTTTTGTTTATTTTTATATTCAACGACATTAGGATTATCTTAAAATTTGTGAGAAAAGGTCCGATTAGAAAATCACATATTTCTTTCCAACACGAAACTTACACCCGGTGTAATTTAAAAATATGTATAATATTTTATTTCCTTTTTTTTTAACTACACAAGAGATCATTATTTTTTTACATTAGTGTAACAGAGTACCCAACTTATTTATAACATTTCAACCGGGGTGTTGTTTTATTGGTTATCTTATTATTGGATTATTCTACTGTTGAAATACGTTCCTCTTTATGGGACCAAAATTACCTTCGAATGACTAATTGGTTGTATGTAAGCAGCAGAATCATCTAAAAAGAAGCTAACTAATAAAGAATAGGTCTATCTTAACTCACTCAGTGCCTGAGGTAAAGCGGCTCGGGAGAGGTGACATTGACATATTATGACGTGACGCAAGCATACAGGGTGTCCCAGAATGGGTGAATCAAACTGATAGGGGAAGTAGCTCTACTAATGTACTATCCTTAAAAAATATGAAAAAAAATAAAGCACATGAGGACACAAAAATTTTTTTTTTTCAAAAANTTTTTTAAGTGAAAATAAATCAGCTATCTGGTTATAATTGCTGCGTTTGGAGTTTTTGGTTTTACTTTTTTCTTACTAATATTAATTGTACATGATCGCTTCGTTATTCTGTAAACAAACTTTTGAAATGACTAGATTTCGAGTGTAGAGCACATTATTAAAAAAAAATCCGAACTCAATTTTTTTTTCATATTCAGGGATAGACATTAGTAGAGCTACCTCCCCTATCAGTTTGATTCACCCATTCTGGGACACCCTGTAGAATTCTGAGAGATATGAAGTCTCATTGACGTTTGACGTTACAAAAACCCTCCCGTGCCACTGCTATACCTCTGACATTGATTGAGTTAACCACTAGACCTATAGTATCCCATATATTTTCAGACTGCCTTTTCAATCTTCTTATGTTTCAAATTACTAGAGACTTGGCTCAACGTTGTTTTTGCACAATATAATTTTCTTTTTGCAGTCTTACTGTAAATTAACTGCCAGTCTATTGTTTATGGTCGTGTATTTCGAATGTAGGCTATGATTTAGTCGATAAGCTCATATTGGTGCATAATTTTGTTTCTACCCTATTTATAATTTATTCAATGAAACAATTTAGTTTTTAGAAACTTTTGATTGTTGTTGCGAAACAAAAGTATGAAAATAAAAATGGCATAAAGGAAATTTAAATAAGAAAAAAACTAATTCAGTTTTAGTTTATATGGATGATTAACAAAATTCTGGGTGTTGTGTGTGATTTTTTGATTCCTTTTAGTATAGAGTTTTAATTCAATGTTATTCGTGTAATTCAAGCTATATTATATTTTTGTTGTTTATTTCCGCTAGTGTTAGATATCAAACCATTTTTGCATCTCCAATTTGATGTCGCCAAAAATGTAAGTTCCATTTTCCACCACATTCCATTTCAGACTGCAACGTTGTTGAATGTTTATAGGCTCCCAATCTCGGGTATTTTTGTACAGCGGCTGATAGATACATAATTACTGCAATATTCGTGTTGTAAATAAATATAAACACAAAACTAATTGAATTTGATTTTTAACCTTTATGCAGCCTCAAGCCAACGAATATTTTAGATAACAATTAGGATGAATTAGCGGCCCTCCCGCAGCATCGTACGCGCGGAAACCGTTTTACCCCCTTAGGGGTTGAATTTTGCAAAATCCCGTTTTCATGCAAAACTTGAGACTTTTGCACTTTTAGTTTCTGTGATTTCGTGATGAGTGATTCAGTGATCCTTTCGCTTTTATAGATATAGATGTATTAAGGCGTGCCTATTATTAAAGAAGAAAGAAATAAAACAAACATTATTTTAATTACAAAATTGTAATAATTAACCATTCTTAGGTATAAACGTTACGCCGTACAATCTGATAAATACAATAGATATTAATAGGCAGAAGACTGGAATTGATACAAACTATGTAATCTCGGAGAGAGAATTCACACGTTAAAATTGAGCACCAAGTTTTTATTTTATATCCGTATGCACAAGAAATAAATTGAATGAGGAAAAAATATAGACCTATCACACGCAAACTAGTAAAGCTAAAGATTAGTTAGACCTTAATTGGGAAATTTTTCTTTTCTCTTTACCCTTCTATCTGTTGTTGTTTTTATACTACAGTGGGGAATATAGTTCCCACCATATTTTAAACTTTATTCCCAAACAAAAATTTAGACCTGTTAAAGGCTTAAAAACATTACTCCTCACTAAAAAGTCACACGCGAATCAAAATATTTATTTTAATTTGAACTAAGTGCTCAACATTGGGGGAGGCCTATGTTCAGCAGTGGACGTCCTATGGCTGAGATGATGATGATGAAGTGTTCAACACGATCCATCTTGTTACTTAGTTTGCATTAGGCCACTTTGGTATTTACAATACAATACTCCGCCTTGAAATTAGTTGAAGTTTTATTAGTTTGACCATCTGGCTTTTATAGGTTCACAGTGCCGCTGAATCAACAAAAATAGATAGATATTAACAGTAACTTCAGTACTGAATTATTTAATTCGATATTATGCCTTCTTACACCGATACATTCTAAAATGTCAATGGACGCTTAAAGAAATGGTGTTTCTATCAAGTATTCTATAAAGATGGTCAATTCGAGATCAGTTTGATGACTAGTGGGAGAAGTATTAGATTGATCTATAATAATAGTCTATAGTATAGTGCATACGGATTAGCCTTAACTGCGATAATCACACTATATTGAATTTATTTGACCAGCGTTTCTTAACCTTTTCGTCCACCCCTTAGAAAATCAAGCATAATTTTATGGACTCCTTTTAAAAAAAAGCAGCAATAACAGACCATTTATTTTAGTACTATGATTAAATGGTCTATAGATAAGGATGCAGACCCCCATAAATATGCTTATGGAACACAGGTTAAGAAACACTGTTAGACAACACGAATTTAAGGGCATGCTATACATAAACTGTATAGCATGCCCTTAAATTGTTGTGGTCAAATATTATTGTTACTGGACAAATATTATTAGTGTTCCTTCAAACTCAAATATTTAAAACTCTGTCAGTATTGGTTGCTGAAGACATCTTTATTATTCTAACTTCACCATAATTTATATCAGTCAACATTGCAGATATTAAAGAGTGCATGTAACCCCGTGATTAACTTAACAAAAACAATTATTACTAGTAATTTGTGTCAAAATGGTGTCAAGAGTAATTTTTCGGTTATAATTAACTAGAAAAGGGTCGATAGAGTTAAAACCACAAAAACACAAGCGTAAGATACAATACATGTCAAATCATACTCCGTTTAGCTATATTACTGGTTTAAATGTCTTAAAATATTTTTTGTAAATTAACAAGCTATTTACAAATAAATTAGTCTAGCATGTAGACTACGCCTTACTTTCATCTATAGTCTGATCTGCGAGCACGTAGAATTTTGTCCAATGACCCCAAGCTACTCATCCTTATCGCTCGCGCGTAATTATGTTGCTGTCGCGCTCGCACACTCACTGCGGGCGCCCGTCGCACACTCGCGACAGCAATATAATTACACGCGAGCGATAAGGATGGGTAGCTAGGGGTCATTGGACAAAATTCTACGTGCTCGCAGACCAGACTATAGTATGGTATTGTACTATTTTACGTGAATTAAAATAGGACTTCGTCTAGATATTTCAGACTGTCTTAATCTTTTTCAGATACTATTGCTGTTACAATTTTAGTCTTATTAACCACGTTTTAGTAACTGCCAGTTTATTATTTGTGTATGAGGTATGATTGTACTATTATTGCGATCAGCCTGTTTGGAAGCATTCGATTTATTTATTAAATGCCATGGAGTTGTTTAAAAAGTCTTTTATGTAAAAGAAGCAAAAATCCAATCTGGCCCAGCTTTTTATACACTATATTGTTAAATATTGTGCATAAGCCGAGATTAAGAGAGTATTTCGGTACAAGGCACAACACTTGATCCGATCTCAATAATTTTTAAGATTTTTGCCTGGGCTATGAAATTCAACCCATGAAAGCCTCAATAAATGCTTTAATGCAGTTTTAAGCGTTCTTTTGTGGTACTATGTGATTTCTAGCTACTGCGTTTGGTAGTGTCTTTGAAAATCAACAAGACTGAAGCGATTTTTGCGTATGCAATAGCACGCATTGTAAAAAAACGAAATTTATTTTTGAAATAGTTTCATTGAAATAATCGTTGTACTAGGTTAATAATTTAAACTATATACCTAACCAAAATAATAATTTTCTTTATTGTAGTGTCTTGCAAAAGATAAAATATGTTTTATACATTTTGATTATTTTTTTATATCTTTTAGCGCTAAATAAAGTCGATCTATTAAAATACGCGATCCTCTCACTTGCAAATATTGCAAAACCGATTAAAATCTTTCATCGAGTCACTTGGTTAAATGAGGCCTTGAGTATATTACAATAGGATCTTATTTTGCAAGAACATTTCATGATATGAACTGATAACCATTTTAAACAAAATAAATACACATTTTCTGAAGACTTTTACAGCAAGTTTTTACGATGCGGTATCGTGGCAATTTATACATTGTAAATTAAGACCAAATGCCGTTTGCATAAGGTGCATATTTAATTGATTTGAGTTCGAATCCCAACTCATATGCTTGCCGCACACTCGTTAGACGAGCAGAACTCTGTAACAGTGCAATCAAATAATTATCAGCCATAGGATATTGACATTAAGCAATATTACGCTATATTATATTACAAATTGTTGTGTAAGCCGGGAAAAGGTATTATGGGTTTAAATCGTTTAAATATAAATGACTCAAAGAACAAAATTTTATGAAGGTTAGGCCAGCCTTAACCTATTGTACAGTACATCTGACTACACTTTTGTTAATAAATTGTAGTTATTACAAGTAAGTAAGATGTCACTGTGTCAAGTTTGATGTGCTGTCTTCTGTACATGAGAAGTTCATGAAACCATTGATGTTCATCAATAGTTGTTTGCGTAAATGATGCCTAACGATATTATGTGTCGCAGCCATTTGGTTAAATTAGCCAGCTAATTAAATCCCAAGGCCGTTCATTAAATCTGAAAGACAACTATCCACATACAAATTATGACAATAGGATAGTTTCCTGAAGAAACTTTTAGTCCGTGCGCTATCGTAAAATTTTCATTAATTTGAAAAAGTAAAAAATACGTGTCGAGTATTTTTTGATAAGTTCACTGACGGACTAATACAAACTCATGCTTTTTACCCAGGAAACATCCCTATTTTAGATTTTCTACTCAAGGCCTCATATAACCCCCCACCGCCAATTCTAAAAAGAAAACTACACACATTATTTACAGGATATGTTTGTGTTCTGCACTAAAATACACGCACCACCGAAGGCCACTATTGGATTAAACTCTTCAAGTATTTCGACTTCTTTTTCAGTATATTCCTCACATCATTTATCATGTCTTGCCTGCCGTTTTTGAGTTTGTTCTCGACCGGACTTTGGTATTTGCTAATGTTCAGTTTGGAGAATTGTTCTTCTAGTGTGCTTTGATAGTTGTATTCGGGGAGTTTCTCAAAGGATTCCTCGAGGAAGGTGATGGATTCTTGCACTGCTTCGTTGAGTTTGTTGAGGAGTTGGACGGTTTTGATCTCGTCTGGGGAGCGATTGGTTTTTTTCTTGGACTTCTTAGTGTTGGCCGGGGCCATGCATTCGTTGCAAACGCCTAGGAGGAACGTCGCTATTCCTATGAACTGAAATGAGAGAGAAAATACAGTTGAGAACGTGCAGACTAGAAATGGGTAAATTATCGGGCATTTAAGATAAACACAGGCGCAAAAAGTTACATTTACGATTTTTCCGCATAAAACGGAGGCCTCTAAAAATCTTCATCATATCAAATTTCCCTCCAGTGGGGGCAAAATTTATCACCATCTTGCATCTTGCCTAAGTCTGTCGCCATAACAACAATGTTAACAGCATTGTTGTGTTTCGACAGTTGAAGGTAGGATTGAAAGTTCTTCACCTTCCGCCTGATCATCATTTTTGGAGGTAGGAAAGCCACTTCCTTTGTGACTGAGGCTTCTGGGTGAAGCTCGCTTTTACTTACGGTCTGATCATCACTTTCCATCGACTGATTGAAGTGAGATAGAGATCAAGAGCTCCTCTCGTGAGTAAATAAAGTATATTTACCTCCAAATAATTAGACAGCGCTTCCAGCCTATCCCACAGGCCCCAAGTTTGATCAGCGGCTTCCGGCGGCGGCGCTAGTGCCGCGGGCACTTTGTCCAACAGTTCCACAACTCGCGCGCAGAGGGCGTGCGACTCGCTCGTGCGGCCAACAACCAGCTCGCCGACCATACACACCGTGTCGGAGTATAGTATGATGTATCGCATGTGTCTAGTGGTAAGACCACCATCTGCTCTAAAGTCCGGTCGCCGAGCATGTAAAATTTCGTGACCCCAAGTTACCCATTCTTATTGCTCGCCCCTAATTATATTGCTGTCGCGCTCACACGCTGCGGCCGCCCGTCGCACAGTTGCGACAGCAATAGTGAGCGATAAGGATGGGTAGCTTGGGGTCATTGGACGAAATTCTACGTGTTCGGCGACCGTACTTTAGTTCCAGAGATCCCGGGTTCGATTCAAAGTGTCAAGTCTAGCTACTATTATCTTACCTAAGTCTGCCGCCATAAGAACGACGTTAACAGCATTGTAGAAGGTAGGAGAGCCAGTTCCTCTGTGGTCGAGGCTTCTTCATGCTCGCTTTTACTTACGGCCTGATCATCACTTTCCATCGAGTGATTGAAGTGAGATAGAGATCAAGAGCTCCTCTCGTGAGTAAAAAAAGTATATTTACCTCCAAATAATTAGACAGCGCTTCCAGCCTATCCCGCAGGCCCCAAGTTTGATCAGCGGCTTCCGGCGGCGGCGCTAGTGCCGCGGGCACTTTGGCCAACAGTTCCACAACTCGCGCGCAGAGGGCGTGCGACTCGCTCGTGCGGCCAACAACCAGCTCGCCGACCATACACACCGTGTCGGAGTATAGTATGATGTATCGCCTATGTGTTTAGTGGTAAGACCACCATCTGCTTTAAAGTCCGGTCGCCGAGCACGTAGAATTTCGTCCTTATCGCTCGCGCGTAATTATATTGCTGTCGCGCTCGCACACTCACTACGGCCGCCCGTCGCACAGTCGCGACAGCAATATAATTACGCGCGAGCAATAAGGATGGGTAACTTGGGGTCATTGGACGAAATTCTACATGCTCGGGGACCGTACTTTAGTTCCAGAGATCCCGGGTTCGATTCCCAGTGTCAAGTCTAGCTACCACTATCTTACCTAAGTCTGTCGCCATAAGAACGACGTTAACAGCATTGTAGAAGGTAGGAGAGCCAGTTCCTCTGTGGTCGAGGCTTCTTCATGCTCGCTTTTACTTACGGCCTGATCATCACTTTCCAACGAGTGATTGAAGTGAGATAGAGATCAAGAGCTCCTCTCGTGAGTAAAAAAAGTATATTTACCTCCAAATAATTAGACAGCGCTTCCAGCCGGTCCCGCAGGCCCCAAGTTTGATCAGCGGCTTCCGGCGGCGGCGCTAGTGCCGCGGGCACTTTGGCCAACAGTTCCACAACTCGCGCGCAGAGGGCGTGCGACTCGCTCGTGCGGCCAACAACCAGCTCGCCGACCATACACACCGTGTCGGAGTATAGTATGATGTATCGGCTGTGTCTAGTGATAAGACCACCACCTGCTCTAAAGTCAAAGTCGTCCAATGACCCCAAGCTACTCATTCTTATTGCTCGAGCATATATTGCTGTTGCGACTGTGCGAAGGGCGGCAGCAGTATGTGAGCGCGACAGTAATATAATTATGCGCGAGCGATAAGGATGGGTAGCTTGGGGTCATTGGACGAAATTCTACGTGCTCGGCGACCGTACTTTAGTTCTAGAGATCCCGGGTTCGATTCCTAGTGTCAAGTCTAGCTACCACTCTTTTACCTAAGTGTGTCGCCATAACAACAATGTTAACAGCATTGTTGTGTTTCGACAGTTGAAGGTAGGATTGAAAGTTCCTCTTGAATTGAGAATTCATGTTTCCACCTTCCGCCTGATCATCACTTTTGAAGGAAGGAAAGCCAGTTCCTCTGTGAGTGAGGCTTCTGGGTGAAGCTCGCTTTTACTTACGGCCTGATCATCACTTTCCATCGAATGATTGAAGTGAGACAGAGATCAAGAGCTCCTCTCGTGAGTAAAAAAGTGTATTTACCTCCAAATAATTAGACAGCGCTTCCGGCCTATCCCGCAGGCCCCAAGTTTGATCAGCGGCTTCCGGCGGCGGCGCTAGTGCCGCGGGCACTTTGGCCAACAGTTCCACAACTCGCGCGCAGAGGGCGTGCGACTCGCTCGTGCGGCCAACAACCAGCTCGCCGACCATACACACCGTGTCGGAGTATAGTATGATGTATCGGCTGTGCCTAGTGTTAAGACCATCACCTGCTCTAAAGTCCGGTCGTCGAGCACGTAGAATTTCGTCCAATGACCCCAAGTTACTAAGTAATTTTATTGCTGTCGCGACTGTGCGAAAGGCGTTCTCAGTGAGTACGTGAGCGCGACAGCGATATAATTACGTGCGCGCGAGCGATAAGGAAGGGTAGCTTGGTGCTCGGCGACCGTACTTTAGTTCCAGAGATACCGGATTCGATTCCCAGTGTCAAGTCTAGCTACCACTATCTTACCTAAGTCTGTCGCCATAAGAACGACGTTAATAGCATTGTTCTGTTCCGGTAGTTGGAGGTAGGAAAGCCAGTTCCTCTTGAATTGAGAATTCATGTTTCCACCTTCAGCCTGATTATCACTTTCCAACGAATGATTGAAGCGAGATAGAGATCAAGAGCTCCTCTCGTGAGTAAAAAAAGTGTATTTACCTCCAAATAATTAGACAGCGCTTCCAGCCGGTCCCGCAGGCCCCAAGTTTGATCAGCGGCTTCCGGCGGCGGCGCTAGTGCCGCGGGCACTTTGGCCAACAGTTCCACAACTCGCGCGCAGAGGGCGTGCGACTCGCTCGTGCGGCCAACAACCAGCTCGCCGACCATACACACCGTGTCGGAGTATAGTGTGATGTATCGCATGTGTCTAGTGGTGAGACCACCACCTGCTCTAAAGTCCGGTCGCCGAGCACGTAGAATTTCGTCCAATGACCCCAAGCTACCCATCCTTATTGCTCGCGCATATATTGCTGTCGCGACTGTGCGAAGGGCGGCTGCAGTGTGTGAGCGCGACAGCAATATAATTACGCGCGAGCGATAAGGATGGGGTAGCTTGAGGTTGGACGAAATTCTACGTGCTCGGCGACCGTACTTTAGTTCCAGAGATCCCGGGTTCGATTCCCAGTGTCAAGTCTAGCTACCACTATCTTACCTAAGTGTGTCGCCATAAGAACGACGTTAACAGCATTGTAGAAGGTAGGAAAGCCAGTTCCTCTGTGGTTGAGGCATCTGGGTGAAGCTCGCTTTTACTTACGGCCTGATCATCACCTACCATCGAATGATTGAAGTGAGATAGAGATCAAAAGCTTCTCTCATGAATAATAAAAGTATATTTACCTCCAAATAATTAGACAGCGCTTCCAGCCGGTCCCGCAGGCCCCAAGTTTGATCAGCGGCTTCCGGCGGCGGCGCTAGTGCCGCGGGCACTTTGGCCAACAGTTCCACAACTCGCGCGCAGAGGGCGTGCGACTCGCTCGTGCGGCCAACAACCAGCTCGCCGACCATACACACCGTGTCGGAGTATAGTGTGATGTATCGCATGTGTCTAGTGGTGAGACCACCACCTGCTCTAAAGTCCGGTCGCCGAGCACGTAGAATTTCGTCCAATGACCCCAAGCTACCCATCCTTATTGCTCGCGCATATATTGCTGTCGCGACTGTGCGAAGGGCGGCTGCAGTGTGTGAGCGCGACAGCAATATAATTACGCGCGAGCGATAAGGATGGGGTAGCTTGAGGTTGGACGAAATTCTACGTGCTCGGCGACCGTACTTTAGTTCCAGAGATCCCGGGTTCGATTCCCAGTGTCAAGTCTAGCTACCACTATCTTACCTAAGTGTGTCGCCATAAGAACGACGTTAACAGCATTGTAGAAGGTAGGAAAGCCAGTTCCTCTGTGGTTGAGGCATCTGGGTGAAGCTCGCTTTTACTTACGGCCTGATCATCACCTACCATCGAATGATTGAAGTGAGATAGAGATCAAAAGCTTCTCTCATGAATAATAAAAGTATATTTACCTCCAAATAATTAGACAGCGCTTCCAGCCGGTCCCGCAGGCCCCAAGTTTGATCAGCGGCTTCCGGCGGCGGCGCTAGTGCCGCGGGCACTTTGGCCAACAGTTCCACAACTCGCGCGCAGAGGGCGTGCGACTCGCTCGTGCGGCCAACAACCAGCTCGCCGACCATACACACCGTGTCGGAGTATAGTGTGATGTATCGCATGTGTCTAGTGGTGAGACCACCACCTGCTCTAAAGTCCGGTCGCCGAGCACGTAGAATTTCGTCCAATGACCCCAAGCTACCCATCCTTATTGCTCGCGCATATATTGCTGTCGCGACTGTGCGAAGGGCGGCTGCAGTGTGTGAGCGCGACAGCAATATAATTACGCGCGAGCGATAAGGATGGGGTAGCTTGAGGTTGGACGAAATTCTACGTGCTCGGCGACCGTACTTTAGTTCCAGAGATCCCGGGTTCGATTCCCAGTGTCAAGTCTAGCTACCACTATCTTACCTAAGTGTGTCGCCATAAGAACGACGTTAACAGCATTGTAGAAGGTAGGAAAGCCAGTTCCTCTGTGGTTGAGGCATCTGGGTGAAGCTCGCTTTTACTTACGGCCTGATCATCACCTACCATCGAATGATTGAAGTGAGATAGAGATCAAAAGCTTCTCTCATGAATAATAAAAGTATATTTACCTCCAAATAATTAGACAGCGNTTTACAGTACAGACAACTGGCTGGCTCCTGTACAAAGACGTACGCCGACACGGTCGCCGCAGCAAGCTGTCGACTCGTCGACGTCTGCCGTCGACGTGTCGACAGCTTGCTGCGGGCACGTCGACGGCTAGCTGCCGACAAGTGACGGCGACTGCGGTCGCCTTTGCTGTCGTCAATGTGCTGCTCGTGTGTAAGAGCTCTAATAGAGCCGGTATTGAGTTACAAAATGTCTATAGTAAGTATCATGGATGTTTTTTCAACTCACCAATAATTCTAGAAGGGAAAGGCGCGGATATGCTAATCTTTTCGCTAACTGCGTACTTCTCTCTGCATTTCTCCATCGCCTTACTAAATGCCTCCACACAGGTCTTGAGCTCTTCATACTGTGGTGTCCTTTCTTCCAAGGGTCCACCTTCAGCTAATTCTATGCACAGAGCTAAGGAGGAGATAAGGGCGTCTTGTAGGCGGAGGTAGGCTAAGTCTTGGTCGAAGGTGCGCTCTTTTAAGTCCGGATCTTGAGCCTCTGGCGGTTCGTAATTGACTATTACGTTGAGATCTCGGTTGTCGCTGGAAATAATAAGAATTAATTAATCTGTAGTTCTATAACACGCAGGGTGGAAAAAAATCATGATTTTTATATTTTAATAAAAAAAATCAGTTTTTTTGGAAAAAATCGTGATTTTTTTTATTTATATTGATTTATTTGATTTTTATTACATCTTGCAATCATTGCCTTAGTTTTTCATGCGGAAAACATGTTTATTTAGGTACAACTGAGGTATAGTACTGGGAACAAGCCAAAAAAAGTAAATTGTGTAAGATGGTATATCATATTTTTACTGAAACAAGAAAAAACTTTCGTCAAAAAACATGAATATCTGAATACAATTATCACTTATTTTTTCGAAAAAGAAAATCTATGGAAAAATATTTTTTTTACCAATTTTTCATACAAAACGGCTATTTCACACTTGAACACCTAAATCAACATTGTTTTCGATCATTATAGTTGATTAATATGCACTCCCAGTGTTGCATTAATTCCATTTTCGGATATTGATTTAAATCAGTGATTTTTATAAAAAAAATCATGCAATAAAAATCGTGATTTAAAAAACCCTGATAACACGTCCTAAATATATAATTTTATCGTAACCGTAACAATAATTCGAGGGAAAACATCCTGGTACTGGTGACCCGCATTTTGTGTAGGCATTGTTCAGTGGTACTCACGTGACAAACATCATGTAAGCGATGTAGGCCGCTCACTTACATCATTTACGTCACCTGTAGGCACTGTAGGCGGTGCTCTTATGACCCACGTAACATGTATGCATACTCACGTGACCTTACTGTGAAGGCACTGTATGGCAATTATTTTCGTTATCTAATACGTCATGTGTAGGCAGATGCTATAATAACGCACGTCACGTGTAGGCTTATTAGACAGCGCAATCACATGACGTACGTTACCTGTAGGCACTAGAGGCGATGCATGTTATGTGTCGGCGCTGGAGGCGACGCATGCTATGCTATGCGCTGGAGGTACTCACGTGGCGCGCGGCGGCAGACGGCAGGGCGCGTGCAAGGGCGCCGGTGGGCCGGCTACTAAAGCCAATAGAGCCCGCTGTGCGCGGCGCACTGCTCGAGGCGATGCATGCTATATGTCGGCGTTGGAGGCGACGCACGCTATGTGTAGGCGTATGTGTCGGCGCTGGAGGCGACGCACGCTATGTGTCGGCGCTGGAGGCGACGCACGCTATGTGTCGGCGCTGGAGGCGACGCACGCTATGTGTCGGCGCTGGAGGCGACGCACGCTATGTGTCGGCGCTGGAGGCGACGCACGCTATATGTCGGCGTTGGAGGCGACGAGCGCAATCACATGACGTACGTCACCTGTAGGCACTAGAGGCGATGCATGTTATGTGTCGGCGCTGGAGGCGACGCATGCTATGCTATGCGCTGGAGGTACTCACGTGGCGCGCGGCGGCAGACGGCAGGGCGCGTGCAAGGGCGCCGGTGGGCCGGCTACTAAAGCCAATAGAGCCCGCTGTGCGCGGCGCACTGCTCGAGGCGACGCATGCTATATGTCGGCGTTGGAGGCGACGCACGCTATGTGTCGGCGCTGGAGGCGACGCACGCTATGTGTCGGCGCTGGAGGCGACGCACGCTATGTGTCGGCGCTGGAGGCGACGCACGCTATGTGTCGGCGCTGGAGGCGACGCACGCTATGTGTCGGCGCTGGAGGCGACGCACGCTATGTGTCGGCGCTGGAGGCGACACACTATGTGTCGGCGCTGGAGGCGACGCACGCTATGTGTCGGCGCTGGAGGCGACGCACGCTATGTGTCGGCACTGGAGGCGACGCACGCTATGTGTCGGCGCTGGAGGCGACGCACGCTATGTGTCGGCACTGGAGGCGACGCACGCTATGTGTCGGCGCTGGAGGCGACGCACGCTATGTGTCGGCGCTGGAGGCGACGCACGCTATGTGTCAGCGCTGGAGGCAACGCACGCTATATGTCGGCGTTGGAGGCGACGCACTCTATATGTCGGCGTTGGAGGCGACGCATGCTATATGTCGGCGTTGGAGGCGACGCATGCTATATGTCGGCGTTGGAGGCGACGCACGCTATGTGTCGGCGCTGGAGGCGACGCACGCTATGTGTCGGCGCTGGAGGCGACGCACGCTATGTGTCGGCGCTGGAGGCGACGCACGCTATGTGTCGGCGCTGGAGGCGACGCACGCTATGTGTCGGCGCTGGAGGCGACGCACGCTATGTGTCGGCGCTGGAGGCGACGCACGCTATGTGTCGGCGCTGGAGGCGACGCACGCTATGTGTCGGCGCTGGAGGCGACGCACGCTATGTGTCGGCGCTGGAGGCGACGCACGCTATGTGTCGGCGCTGGAGGCGACGCACGCTATGTGTCGGCGCTGGAGGCGACGCACGCTATGTGTCGGCGCTGGAGGCGACGCACGCTATGTGTCGGCGCTGGAGGCGACGCACGCTATGTGTCGGCGCTGGAGGCGACGCACGCTATGTGTCGGCGCTGGAGGCGACGCACGCTATGTGTCGGCGCTGGAGGCGACGCACGCTATGTGTCGGCGCTGGAGGCGACGCACGCTATGTGTCGGCGCTGGAGGCGACGCACGCTATGTGTCGGCGCTGGAGGCGACGCACGCTATGTGTCGGCGCTGGAGGCGACGCACGCTATGTGTCGGCGCTGGAGGCGACGCACGCTATGTGTCGGCGCTGGAGGCGACGCACGCTATGTGTCGGCGCTGGAGGCGACGCACGCTATGTGTCGGCGCTGGAGGCGACGCACGCTATGTGTCGGCGCTGGAGGTGACGCATGCTATGCTATGCGCTGGAGGTACTCACGTGGCGCGCGGCGGCAGACGGCAGGGCGCGTGCAAGGGCGCTGGTGGGCCGGCTACTAAAGCCAATAGAGCCCGCTGTGCGCGGCGCACTGCTCGAGGCGACGCACGCTGTGTCGGCGCTGGGGCGACGCACGCTATGTGTCGGCGCTGGAGGCGACACACGCTATGTGTCGGCGCTGGAGGCGACGCACGCTATGTGTCGGCGCTGGAGGCGACGCACGCTATGTGTCGGCGCTGGAGGCGACGCACGATATGTGTCGGCGCTGGAGGCGACGCACGCTATGTGTCGGCGCTGGTGGGCCGGCTACTAAAGCCAATAGAGCCCGCTGTGCGCGGCGCACTGTTCGAGGCGACGCATGCTATGCTATGCGCTGGAGGTACTCACGTGGCGCGCGGCGGCAGACGGCAGGGCGCGTGCAAGGGCGCCGGTGGGCCGGCTACTAAAGCCAATAGAGCCCGCTGTGCGCGGCGCACTGCTCGAGGCGACGCACGCTATGTGTCGGCGCTGGAGGCGACGCACGCTATGTGTCGGCGCTGGAGGCGACGCACGCTATGTGTCGGCGTTCGAGTCGAGGCATGCTATGCTATGCGCTGGAGGTACTCACGTGGCGCGCGGCGGCAGACGGCAGGGCGCGTGCAAGGGCGCCGGTGGGCCGGCTACTAAAGCCAATAGAGCCCGCTGTGCGCGGCGCACTGCTCGAGGCGACGCACGCTATGTGTCGGCGCTGGAGGCGACGCACGCTATGTGTCGGCGCTGGAGGCGACGCACGCTATGTGTCGGCACTGGAGGCGACGCACGCTATGTGTCGGCGCTGGAGGCGACGCACGCTATGTGTCGGCGATGGAGGCGACGCACGCTATGTGTCGGCGCTGGAGGCGACGCACGCTATGTGTCGGCGCTCGAGTCTACGCATGCTATGCTATGCGCTGGAGGTACTCACGTGGCGCGCGGCGGCAGACGGCAGGGCGCGTGCAAGGGCGCCGGTGGGCCGGCCACTAAAGCCAATAGAGCCCGTAATCGTGCGGCGCAGGCGCTCCAGGCGCACTGCTCCAGACGCGCGCCCCACGCTCGAAGCTCTACCAGCTTCTCGAATGTGCCGTATTTGTACGCGTACGTTAGGTGCTCTACGCTCTGGAATGAAATAGGTGATATAAAGTTTTTGGTTTAATAGAAGTTGCAGTGGGAAAGAAGTGAGAATAGATGATGTAAGGTCTGGTTAGCAACAATTTGAAGCCACGTTAATAATATCGTCGTCAAACAGTCTAAGTTCACCATTCAGGTAATTTTAGTCTCAGCCTAGGTGGTCACTTTAGTATGAAATCATTTTGTGCTGCTGGATGTCTTTTGTTTCTGTAAAGTCTGTTCGCCGAGAGTTGATAAATATTATGAAATGTCTTGCAATAGCGACTGTCGCTTAATTATTGCATTCTGTATGGCGGGCGTCGTTTGTCACAACGCGCACTGAGTACCATGGTACGAGCCACGCAGCTGTCGTCAAGCGCCCCGGCCGGCGGGCCGCAATGTGTGAAACGCAATGTGTGAAACGGAATAGATTTATTTTAAATAAGACCGAAATGAATTGTATGATAGTGGGTAGGGCTTTGCCCAACATTGGGATACACTATAAGCCACTTAATAATAATGAAATACTTTTTATCTAACACATGGACGCCACGTGTTTAATCCGTATCCCCACGTATGCCCTAACCGGAATAATTCCCGTAAATTTAAAAGAGATAATAATAATAATCTACCAACTTTTTCATTATATCGACAAAAATAATTAGCGGGCCGCAATTTATAATGAGTTTAGAACCTCTGATATATTTTTTTTTTTATTAACTCTCGGCGAACAGACTTTAGATGGTGGTAAATGAGGTCCTCTCTGTAGTACAGTCACACACCGAACACTCGCATCTTAGAAACAGTACTGGATATCAGTTCTAGTAGTGTTCGTGTAGACAACGTGATCTGGTGGCGTCCTTTGTGTAGTACAACCATGTCCTACATAATAGTACAGTAGTGTTCTTCACAAAGTACTCACGTCTTTCTGGTGGTGCGCGTGGAAGGCGCGCGCGTCAGCTAGAAGCTGTAACGCGCGCGCGCAGGCGGCGCCGGGCGCGAGGCGTGCAGCGTGCAACCAGCCCAGAGACACAAGCTGAATGTGTTTGGTTTCCAGCCGCTGGTATATGCTATCCGCTGCCAACGCGTTGCCTGCAGAATTATTACACGTAATTTAAGATTCAGTTTTTTTTTACACCAGCAATTTTTCTTCAAAAAAGACATCAAGTAGCGTAGGCGATATTTAGCCGTAGTTGACATGGGCGATAGTATTCGTGTGACGTACGTCATGTGTAGGCATTGTAGGCAACATATGGTGACCTATGTCACGTGTTGACTATGTAGGCACTCACACGACACATGTTACGTGTAGGCTCTGATAACAGAATTCGCGTGACGTATTACCTACGTCATGTGTAGGCACTGTATGCGAGTGTAAGATGTGGATTGAGTGATCCTTGCTTCAATCTTAACAGAAATCGAGGAAGATTTAGTTAAAACTAGCTGACCCGGCGAACTTTGTTCCGCCTTAATGGCAATAAATAAGCAGACTTTTTTTTTAATTTCGAACGGGATAAAAAGTATCCTATGTCCTTCTCCTGGCTCTAAACTACCTCCCTGACAATTTTCAGCTAAATCGGTTCAGCGTTCTTGAGTTATAAGTGGTGTAACTAACACATATAAGATATAAGATATGTTAGCATTGTAGACATGTACGTACGTCACGTGTAGACACTACATTCTCATGGTTGATGACTTAACTGACTATTGATACCAAGTCAAGTATTACGTCTGCAAAGTAGTCTTTGTCGGTATGCTTACCTAGCAGATGGTAGAGCTTGATCATGACCAGCTTGGCGTGGAAGTTGGCGGGCGAGTGGTGCAGCACTAGCTCCAGCAAGCCTAGTGCTTCGATCACGGGCGCAGAGCTCTGCTGCTGCATCGCTGTGAAAAATATTATTTCGTTATTTATTTACTACAACTTCACAACCATTAGACGCAATAAAACCTCTTAATGTGACTAATTAAGGTTCCTTTACACCCTGTATATAATCTGTGTACTATTATCTTTAGGCCCGCTTCGACCAAACTTTTATCCGAGAATAACTCCGATTTATTCTGAGATTAATATTTACTCTTGTTTGGTCGAATCCACCCCACATTAAATATCTTTGATATTCTGAAGCAAGGTTTGGTTCTTAGAAATACATAAAACAGTAATATTTACGGGATTCGTTAAACTTAGGTTTTGACTATTCATGAGGTTAACAATGATACCGAGTTGAATAAATAATGAGTTTAAGCTGTGACATCATTGTTTCAGCATTTAATGTGACCTTCGTAACTATTGATAGGGTGAAAACGTAAATATACAAGTAAAAGGTATGAGCTTGAATACAATTCTACAAAACATCTGGAATCTGGATAACAGAAACATTTTATTAATTGGTAAACAAAAATGTTACTTTCATGCAAACTTTCAATGGACAATGTAATATAATATTTTTGCTATTTTTCCGTTGGCTTTCAAAAGTACCTTCACACATTAGAAAAAAAAAAACACAACTTTACAATACAGTCATTTAAGTCTTACCAGCATAAAAATAGTGATGTGCAGCCAGTATCCCATATCCATCCGCTGCACAGAATTCCGTGATAGTAGCTGTGACGAGACCCTTGCTCAGACAGCGCAGGTAATGTCCCCTGAGCGTGTGGGCCAAGTCCAGACACTCGGTAGCCGACAGCGGGGTTGCGGCGATCCGCCACGCGGCCATGCACGATATGTGGCGTTGGATGTCGTCCGTCTGGCAGAGGAAAATGAAACTTATTTATAAATGCAAACAGCTTATCGGGGGTATTATAAAGTAAAAGACTATCGCCCGTATTCACAAACATTACTATTATACTATGAGATCACACAGTGCGNGCGCTAGTGAAGCGGGCACTTTGGCCAACAGTTCCACAACTCGCGCGCAGAGGGCGTGCGACTCGCTCGTGCGGCCAACAACCAGCTCGCCGACCATACACACCGTGTCGGAGTATAGTATGATGTATCGCATGTGTCTAGTGGTAAGACCACCACATGCTCTAAAGTCCGGTCGCCGAGCACGTAGAATTTCGTCCAATGACCCCAAGTTACTAAGTAATTTTATTGCTGTCGCGACTGTGCGACGGGCGGCCGCAGTGAGTACGTGAGCGCGACAGCAATATAATTACGCGCGAGCGATAAGGATGGGTAGCTTGGGGTCATTGGACGGAATTCTACGTGTTCGGCGACCGTACTTTAGTTCCAGAGATCCCGGGTTCGATTCAAAGTGTCAAGTCTAGCTACTATTATCTTACCTAAGTCTGCCGCCATAAGAACGATGTTAATAGCATTTTGTGTTCCGGCAGTTGGAGGTAGTATAACCAGTACCTCTATAGTTGAGGATTCTTGCTTCTTACCTTCGGCCTGATCATCACTTTTGAAGGAAGGAAAGCCAGTTCCTCTGTGAGGATTTCGGGTGAAATCGCTCCCAGCTTCCACCTTCATCATTTTCCATCAGAAGATATGTAGGCAAAGAGCTTCTTTATGGACAAAAAAGTATATTTACCTCCAAATAATTAGACAGCGCTTCCAGCCTATCCCGCAGGCCCCAAGTTTGATCAGCGGCTTCCGGCGGCGGCGCTAGTGAAGCGGGCACTTTGGCCAACAGTTCCACAACTCGCGCGCAGAGGGCGTGCGACTCGCTCGTGCGGCCAACAACCAGCTCGCCGACCATACACACCGTGTCGGAGTACAACTCCCGGTATGGCACTGGCGACGTGACGAAAGCTGGAAGAAAGTGGGTTTTAAGTAGTTGTAAGACTTCTTGGCGGGAATCTGAAGCGTCATGTTAGCGGTTTTGTTTTATTTCCTCAAATTCGTGTGTGGGCGACTATTAATGTGTAATAATGGTGGATTATTAACCATTGAGTGTTCGTGAACGTGCATGAGTGTGGGCAAGTGAAGCAAAACAGTGCATCGTGATTCCTCTGGTTCTCTCAATTTGTCCATAGGAGGTCTCAGTAAAGCACCATAACTTTACTGAGACTCAAAGGGTGGGAAGGGGTCATTTATCATCCTTCATTATATCATTACTTGAACTCATTTTGTAACTTGTATCACTTATATACTTGAAAATGGCACAAATCAAGTCGACCTCGACGTGTATTGCCAACATCATCAAAAAAGAAGAAGAAGTAATTGTAATTTAAGCAATTTTAAACCCTTAACCAGGCTAAAAAAAGTCATCGCTTTTCAACCATATCTTAACAGCATAAGGTTTAAATTGATGTGGGCTCTATGGCTAGCAGGGCTACTCCGAAACGCCGATTACATAGTTTCGGGTATATTTGTCACTGTTACTCATGCTGGCACCTCGCTTTGTGTGAGAGGGATGGAAATACGAACTTCGGATTACGTTTTTCGGAGTATTCCCAGAGCCTGGTTAAATTCGAACGGGCAGTTGATACCAATAATGCCAATTTCCAAAACACTACTTCTGCTGCTGTTAAATTAGATTTTAGTAAAATAGTCAGTTAATTGAGTTGATGACGACATAACTCGTGTCCTTGGCAGAAATGTGACGCAATAACTCATGCCTTGTTATTAGTTTTTCTTTTGAATTTCCAAAATTTAATAGTTCTTTCGCTGTTCGGGGCAATTACAAATCTAACAAAACATGGCTCATTTAAGAGAGCCGTTATTGTGTTACAAAATGTCTATAGTAAGTATCATTGATGTTTTTTCAACTCACCAATAATTCTAGAAGGGAAAGGCGCGGATATGCTAATCTTTTCGCTAACTGCGTACTTCTCTCTGCATTTCTCCATCGCCTTACTAAATGCCTCCACGCACGTCTTGAGCTCTTCATACTGCGGTGTCCTTTCTTCCAAGGGTCCACCTTCAGCTAATTCTATGCACAGAGCTAAGGAGGAGATAAGGGCGTCTTGTAGGCGGAGGTAGGCTAAGTCTTGGTCGAAGGTGCGCTCTTTTAAGTCCGGATCTTGAGCCTCTGGCGGTTCGTAATTGACTATTACGTTGAGATCACGGTTGTCGCTGGAAATAATAAGTCCGGATTAATGTCTGAGGTCTTGTTACACTTTCTAAATATAGCTTACCGTAACAATAATTCGAAACAAAATATTTGGGTTCTCGGGCCCTGTACGTCATGTGTAGGCACTATCGTGGGTACTCTCACAGGCCTGTTCATCTCCGCAAGTTTACATCCAAAACAAGCACGATGGCGCCCTACAGGATTACTATTTGACAAGGCCTCACATACGAGCGAGCATTGACTCACGCACGCGTATTTTTGTGTATGATGGAAAAAAATAAAGAAAATGGTGTACTAAATACTGTGCAGTATTTAACTGCCTAATTAAGTTGCCTGAAGACACTGAGAGGTAATTAAGTGGTTAATATTATTCATGATAATTCATGCTTTTAATCATGTATTTCTTCCACCATTCTCCGCAGTTTGGCACCTCATTCATTCACACACGTCATTCATCGTTTTACCGAAGTCAGTCCTATGGCTTCGGCGCAGTACCGATTACTGACGTTTGTCAACAAAATGGTGCTTGACTCTTGAGACAAGCTAAATGACACCATATTGTTAATGACATTGAGCATATATTTTTTTAAATACCTTCGCGAAGTAAACATTCTGTACGTAGTACTTATTATTATTCTGTGATACTCACTTGAGTTACGTCATGTGTAAGTATTACGTGACGCATGTCATGTGCAGGCACTGTAGATGGCGTACTCACATAATTTATGTACGTCATGTGTAGGCACTGTAGGCGAGTGCTCTCATGACGAAAGTTACGTGTAGGCATATTAGACAGCGTACTCACGTGACCTTACTGTGTAGGCACTGTATGGCAATTATTTACGTTATCTAATACGTCATGTGTAGGCATTGTAGGCGGTTGCGCATAGTAGGTAGCGTAATCACGAGACGCAGGCACTGTAAGTTAAGCCTAGGGGCAGACCACCGATTTTTGGTAGGCCAATAGTAAGGTCGGGCTGTTAATCAGTTTGGACATGTATGAAAATTATTGATTGATTTGCTATCGGCCGATTCTTCATACAAATTAAAATCGGGTCCAACTATCGGCCAACTAAAAGTCGGTGTTCTGCGCCTAGACTAAGTATTCAGTGGCCTATGTCATGTGTAGGCACTGCAGGAAGAGTAAGCAAGTGACGCATGTTACGTGTAGGCTCTAGCTGCGGTACTCACGTGGCGCGCGGCGGCAGACGGCAGGGCGCGTGCAAGGGCGCCGGTGGGCCGGCTACTAGCGCCAATAGAGCCCGTAATCGTGCGGCGCAGGCGCTCCAGGCGCACTGCTCAAGACGCGCGCCCCACGCTCGAAGCTCTACCAGCTTCTCGAATGTTCCGTATTTGTACGCGTACGTTAGGTGCTCTACGCTCTGGAATGAAATAGGTGATATAAAGTTTTGGCTAAATAGAAGTGGAACGAGAAGTGGGAATGGATTATAAGGTCTTGTTAGCAACAATTTGAAGCCACGTTAATAATATCGTCGTCAAACAGTCAAAGTTCACCATTCAGGTAATTTTAGTCTCAGCCTAGGTGGTCAGTTTAGTATGAAATCATTTTGTGCTGCTGGATGTCTTTTGTTTCTGTAAAGTCTGTTCGCCGAGAGTTGATAAATATTATGAAATGTCTTGCAATAGCGACTGTCGCTTAATTATCGCATTCTGTATGGCGGGCGTCGTTTGTCACAACGCGCACCGAGTACCATGGTACGAGCCACGCAGCTGTCGTCAAGCGCCCCGGCCGGCGGGCCGCAATGTGTGAAACGCAATGTGTGAAACGGAATATATTTATTTTAAATAAAACCGAAATGAATTGTATGAGAGTGGGTAGGGCTTTGCCCAACATTGGGATATACTATAAGCCACTTGATAATAATGAAATACTTTTTATCCAACACATGGACGCCACGTGTTTAATCCGTATCCCTACGTATGCCCTAACCGGAATAATTCCCGTAAATTTAAAAGAGATAATAATGATAATCTACCAACTTTTTCAGTATATCGACAAAAATAATTAGCGGGCCGCAATTTATAATGAGTTTAGAACCTCTGATATTTAATTTTTTTTATCAACTCTCGGCGAACAGACTTTAGATGGTGGTAAATGAGGTCCTCTCTGTAGTACAGTCACACACCGAACACTCGCATCATAGAAACAGTACTGGATATCAGTTCTAGTAGCGTACGTGTAGACAACGTGATCTGGTGGCGTCCTTTGTATAGTACAACCATGTCCTACATAATAGTACAGTAGTGTTCTTCACAAAGTACTCACGTCCTTCTGGTGGTGCGCGTGGAAGGCGCGCGCGTCAGCTAACAGCTGTAACGCGCGAGCGCAGGCGGCGCCGGGCGCGAGGCGTGCAGCGTGCAGCCAGCCAAGAGACACAAGCTGAATGTGTTTGGTTTCCAGCCGCTGGTATATGCTATCCGCTGCCAACGCGTTGCCTGTGAAATAATTAACATAGTTTGAAGACAGTCTCATAACATCAGCGAGGTTATATCACCCGTTTTCGTTCTAAAGGACAGTTTCATCGGTTTCTTGTTGACGGAAAGTTATATCATGTGTAGGCACTGTAGGCGGTGTACTTATGTAATTCGATTTAATTCATGTCACAAAGGCTTTGTAGGAGGCATTCTTACATGACTTACGTGACACGTGTAGGCACTGGCGGCGGTATTCATGTGACGTACGTCATGTGTAGGCACTGTAGACCGCATACTAACGTGATCTACGTCACGTTTTGATTATGTAGGTGGGTACACACGTTACGTGTAGTCCCTGACGACAGTAGTCGCGTGATGTACGTCATGTGTAGGCACTGTACGCAAGTGTAAGCACTGTAGGCATATACATACGTCACGTGTAGGCACTGGCGGCTGAACTAACTACACCAAATATTGTATCTGTAGTCCGCCTGGTCGCGTTCAGATGAACGTAATTCTTAAACGCAATGGTGAACTTAAATGAATTTTTCACCAGTTTCTAGTGAAGAATTAAGCTACCTGCCCAATTTTTTTCAGGGCTAGAAATATCCCATTCTCATTACTTTTTGAACACCCCTCGTATATGTCGGTATGCTTACCTAGCAAATGATACAGCTTGATCATGACCAGCTTGGCGTGGAAATTGGCGGGCGAGTGGTGCAGGACTAGCTCCAGCAAACCTAGTGCTTCGATCACGGGCGCAGAACTCTGCTGCTGCATCGCTGTGGGAAATATTATTTCGTTATTTATTTACTACAGCTTCCTTCCATTACACGCAATAAAACCTCTTAATATGATTAAAGCCTGGTCCGTGAGCACGTAGAATCCCGTCCAATGACCCATCCCTATCGCTCGCGCGTAATTATGTTGCTGTCGCGACTGTGCGACGGGCGCCCGCAGTGAGTGTGCGTGAATGAGTACGTGCTCACGGACCAGGCTTTAATTAAGGTTCCTTTACACCCTGTATGTATACAATCAAACGATTCGACCAAACTTTTATCCGAGAATAACTTCTGGTATAACTGGCACATTGACAGTTTCAGTATGGGAAATATGTCAAAACCTACGATTTATTCTGAGATTAATATTTACTCTTGTTTGGTAGAATCCACCCCACATTAAATATCTTTGATATTCGAAAGCATGGAATCGTTCTTGGAAATAGATAAAACAGTAATATTTACGGGATTCGTTAAACTTAGGTTTTGACTATTCATGAGGTTAGCAATGATACCGAGTTGAATAAATAATGAGTTTAAGCTGTGACATAATTGTTTCAGCATTGTGACCTTCGTAACTATTGAGGTGAAAACGTAAATAATAAACTAGTAAGAGGTATGAGCTTGAATACAATTCTACAATACATCTGGATAACAGAAACACCTTTTATTAATTGGTAAACAAAAATGTTATCATGCAAACTTTCTATGGACACGTAATATAATATTTTTGCTATTTTTCCGTTGGCTTTCAAAAGTACCTTCACACATTAGAAAAAAAAACATAACTTTACAATACAGTCATTTAAGTCTTACCAGCATAAAAATAGTGATGTGCAGCCAGTATCCCATATCCATCCGCTGCACAGAATTCCGTGATAGTAGCTGTGACGAGACCCTTGCTCAGACAGCGCAGGTAATGTCCCCTGAGCGTGTGGGCCAAGTCCAGACACTCGGTAGCCGACAGCGGAGCTGCGGCGATCCGCCACGCGGCCATGCACGATATGTGGCGTTGGATGTCGTCCGTCTGGTAGAGGAAAATTAAACTTATTTATAAATGCAAACAGCTTATCTATTATAAAGTAAAAGACTATCGCCCGTATTCACAAACATTACTATTATACTATGAGATCACACAGTGCTCGTGAACACACAGGGTCACACACGAACCAATTACGGAGCTCTATGCAACGCTGTGCATTCGATTTGCTGCTTCACAGCAAGCATCGTTTGTGAATACTGGTGTTTAAAGAACGTAATGAAGCTTACTAGCCAATTTAATACTAAATTCAAATAAACATTTGTCATTTCCTCTACTAACATGATTGCGTACAATTAACAGCACACCTGCCTATTACAATTACATGAGATTAAACAGTGTTTAGTGTGTTAATGCTGTTGCTCATTTATGAAATGTTCAAAATCACAATAAAAATTTACTTACGTTATCCGGTTCACTATTCTCGTCAAAGCCCAGGCAAGTCAAGAACTCTCTGGCCCTATCTTCTCTTTCCTTCTGCGGTAACATTGCCAAATACGGCCTCAAGTCTGGCACCGCACACGGCTTGTTGGCGAACACTCTCAAATACTGCTCACACAATGCCACTCCACTCCCCAGCAAAGCCGTTGGGTCTCCATCTACGGCCAAACGCTTCCAAAGCTCTAACCTCGCCAAATATGGCCCTCTCAACGTCCTCCCCGAAGTCATACTCTCCACTAATTGACAGATAAACTCATGACATTTCTCCGCAGTATCGTCCGCTGTACTCTCAATGTTAGAATCACTCTCCTTCATCAGTTCGAACACAGAATCGAAATACGGAAGATAGTAGTCCCATCTATCTTGATTGTCGAATAACAGTTCTTTGCAGAGTACGTTTAGTCGCTTCCAGTGGCCTAGTTTTTTTAAATAAGGTATACATGCTTGAGATATCGACCCAGGCACTAACTGGCTGTACAGAGGACTTTCAATGAATTTCAAGATGTCCTCCCATTTTTCCTGAAGCTCCAGGATCATGATGTAAAGGCGCGCTTCCTGCTCAGCCTCCATTTTGTTTTCAGTGATGAAGTTGTCGACCATCCTCTGTGCTAGAGAGAGGAGTATGCCCCTTTTTGTTGAGTCTTCAGAGGTTTTGGCCTGTATTGAGTATTTTTTTTACAATCTAAATTAATTTGTGGATTGATTAATAGAGTCAAAATAATGGAACAGTTTTTAAGTGCTACTACACAGTACAAATTGTAAACCTTTACAGGAATATGTATACTTTTTAACAGAATCAATTAATGTTGTGAAAAGTTGAAAAACATTACATACATACATGCATGTAGAATTAATGATAAGGCAATGTCTTCCATATAACATTTTAAAATCCAATCTTTTTATCGATAATCAAGCAGTAAAATAAAAAATAAGTGTCACCTGCAGAACAATACTCATAACAGCCCAGAAGTAGTACGGATTCTTCGGTGCAAACTTATAAAGCGCCATAGCCGCTCTCTGCTGCGCTCGGTAGTCTCCCACACGGACGTACGACATGAACAGATGGGAGTGCAGCTCCTCACTGTTTGGATCTATCTTCACGGCCGCTTCGTACAGTGCACACACTTTGTGCACTTTAGAAAACATAGCATGTTATTAAGTTTGTACTTAAATTACACTAGTTTTCTCTTTTATATGAGAGGTGGTGTAGTATACAAGAAATGCTTCAGAATAAATTATTTGTAGTTGTAGTTTTAGTGCAGTGATTTCAAGTATTTTTAGATAGTATTTTGAGTTCAATTATGCTCAGATTTTAATGGTTTTTGGACAGTTAAGTGTTCTGTTAGACAATATTATTTATTTATAAATATACTTAGAGTTATATAACACAAGGGTTTTGTGTTACCCAGTCCATTTAACAGCCAATTCTAATAGGACCATTTATTCTATATTAAAATAACTTACGCTGCTGAGATTCCCGGTAGGATATCGTCATGGCCTGTAAGGTAGTATCATCGCTCAGCTTTTCGGCTGCCAGTTCGTCCAGAAGAGCTTGAGCTTGCTGAGCCTTGCCTAACCTAAAAAGTGCTAGGGCCTTGAGCGCTCGAGCCGACTGCAGAGTAGGGGTCTTTTTAAGAACCTTCTCCGCTTCCTGAAGAGCTTTCTTATTGTTCCCATTATCTAGCCAATCTGTAATACCCATAAATCGATTTATTTCACCCGCAAAAAATTCGCACTCCAAGGGAGGTTGTTCAGAAAATAGCACTCGGTCTTTGCGAGGGTTTTACCGTAAATCGGTCGCAGGCGACGCTCCACGATACCGCCGTCGTGCATGTTCTGAGGCCGCACCGCCATTTTTCATTTATAAATACTTTTTACGCTAATTTAAATGCGATTTCGAGTCTTTTTTGGCTTTTTACAGCACGTTTGTTTTGCGACTTTTGTCTTTGGTTAGGACGATGACAGTGACATTTGTAATCAGTGCTGCCAGATATAATAAATAATGGTAGTTTTTTAATGAAAAATAAATTGTCGGTAACTAAAATTAATACAATTTTGTTTGGACCAGGGCTGTAGTACTTGGAGTCATAATCCCAAGAATAATAATTCTTTTGCTTTTTACATCTCGTGTGGCAGAGCCAAGTTAATCGCTTTGTCAGCAAAATAAAGAAAAAATATGTAAAATTAATCTATGGATTTCATATGGCGGGAAATGTTAAAAGTTTTACATACTTTTTTAAGATAGGATAACTTTAATAAGTTTTAGAAAGAAAAACACAGCTATGTCAAACCCATAGCAGCAAGAGGACCAAAAATGTATCGTAGGATTTAAGTGCGCATTGTTGACGTGATAAAGTTATTAAGGTGAGTTGCACCTTCACTGCGACATTTATTTTTCTTCTGCAGTTCTGCACAGCTTAGTTATTTAATTTTTAGCGTTAAGAGTCGCATCTCAAACTAATTTGAAAATTATAAATAACTTGAAAAAATCGAACTGCCTAAGGTTCAAGGTGGGTTCAATTCCCGCCTTAGGCAGTTCGATTTTTTCAAGTTATTTATAATCTGCACAGCTTGTTTAGGAAGTTTAGGATTCGAACCCAGGTTTCTGAAGTAGACGAGCTTTATTCTGTACGCTCGTACTGCGAATAATTACAAGTTCTTTGTTGAATAAGTTTCATTTCATTTCATCTATTGAATTAAATAAGAAAAACTCTCCAAGAACATGTTGTAAACGTTTATTATAAAATAAATAAAATTTACAATGATAAAAACCTAGCTTAGAATTAAATACTTAGTCGAATCAAAACCAGTCATACCGGAGTCACACAGCGCATACACTTCATACAATCAATTCACTTAAAATATCACTATCAAGGCAGTGGTAAGTGACTTAACTTAACCTATAGCCTCTTAACACTTATTTAAAATATACTACGACGGTATCACTTAGCACGAAGATCTACAGTTTCAAACCCGGACTCAGGTAAATGGGGAACTTTGGGAGGTATCAGTTCTGGTGGGGCTTCTCTAGAGAGGGAAGACCTTTTATGCCTCGGTGGAGGAACAGGAGCAGGCGCAGGGACTTTGGACTTCAAGAGGCTCTTGATCTTCATGCCTCCTCTGTAGTAGTACAGGTATATTCCCGCCAGCACTGCCAAAGCGATGAAGAGGGCCACGATGGCGACCACGACTCCGTACCATGCGCTGCCAGTCGACTCTTCTGGCGTGGGCACTGTTGGTCTCCTGTTCGGGGGCACGTACGAAGGCCTGGGCCTTCTGGTCGTCGTCGCAAACTTGTCACCTATCGCAATGTCAGCGCACGCCCTGAATTCCTCCTGGGGACCGCACCCCACCGCCTCCGTGCCGTTCTCACACTTTCCCCAGTTGTTACCTGCTATGTATCTCCATTGCATCACGCAATGCGAGCACTCGAATCCTTCGGGCAATATGTATTTCATTTCGTAGACTTTGTTCCCATCGCGAGGATAGAACTTCGTGTCGTCTCGTCCGTTGAGTTTCAGGACGTTCTTGTCCAAGCATTCCTGGGTTGTGCCTTTGAATTCGTCGCAGATTCTAAACTCGAAGAAGCCGTTGTGGTTGGCTGTGAGTTCTACTTTGATTGTGATGGGGTGTTTGGGCGCATAGCGGCGGACTATGACGCCTTTATAGAAGCGTCCACCGAACTCGTGGGCTCGGGGTTGTTGGGCATCCCAGGCGTCCCCGCAGACGCCGCACTTGCCGTCGTTTTTGTTCCACTGGCGGGAGAAGCCGCCGCAGTAGAGCTCGTGGTCGTTGTAGTTGTGCGGCGTGTCGAAGCCGTAGCGCCAGGCGGACGCTCGCGATGGAGGCTCGATGAGGCGCCCGTGCCCGCTAGCGCAGCCCCAAGTGGCAGCCAACACCACTACACTGCACCATAGTATCTGAAATTAAAAAAAAATCTAGTGAATCGGACAGTTGTTGAGTAACATGATTCGGTTAGGGCACATACGCTCTGGCTAGATGAGTCAGAAATAGGGTGATGATTTTGTACATAGGGATGCAAATGTTGCCAACTATAAAGTAGCTCAGTCCTATTAACCAAGATTCTTCCAATTAAGCAGCGTTGCATCATTGCACCGGTAAAATTGCTCTACTTAAGGCATATCAATTCGATTTTGGCTACCGTAAGTGGTGGTAAGACCTTGTTAAATTTATTAGTTCCGTTCATGCCTATTTAAAGACTGAATATTGGAAATTAATCATTACTAATTTTGCTGTTAGTGTTACCCAATATTGAAGATAAGTACATTATTATGCGATCAATCCTGTAATAAGTTGTTAAACAATTTTTTATTTCCGAATTCACAATTATATTGCTTGTATTTGAGTATTTGTTTGTTATCTGCTAATTGAAATAAGGGTATTTCGTGAATAATTTATTTAGGCACAAAAAACAATGAGAGAAAACCGCGCTATTAACAAACAATAGGAAATTGCGTGGATACCATGTTGTCTACAAAATCGAGAAATCATTATCACTATTTATCTATCATTGTATGGTAATAAGCTCTAATTCGTACATAATTAAATAAATATAAATACAGTCATGTAATTTGGCACTCAATAGAGATGGATAGAGAGAGAGACGATATTTAATGTCTTCACTATAGGTGTTTTACTCCTCCGATAAAATAGTGCAACAACTGGAAAGTTGAAGAAAAGAAAGATATCGTTGTAAGTAGGTACTTGTTCTTAGATTAATTTGTCCTTAATTTATTAAATAATTATGAAAAACCTGGTAATTTTTTATCATTTTATTAAAGAATCTCCTCCTTTTTGAACTCGGCTAAAAAGACACTATGCAACAACAATGACCTAACTTGTCTTTCCAACAAAATTGTGCAAAGGTGATTGACCCAAACGATTGCATCTCTGAATCATCGTAATAAATTGACGATCAGCTTAATTACGTCACACCCATTTAACTGTGGTATTATTAAATAAGCCATCTCATGGCAACCGATGCTCTTGACATTGTTCCGAGGCCGAATGTGTTTTTAAACTCGAAAGATGTTATCCGATTGATGTTATCTCTCTTATGTAATAATAAAAGGTCTTTAAACTTTACAATGTGCATACAATTATGTAAAACTTGATGTAAAAGGTCATCAATGTACCGACGACATGGTCATCGTTTCAGCCGAAAGACTTCCACTGCTGGACAAAGGCCTCCCCCAAGGATTTCCACAAAGACCGGTCCTGCGACGCCCGCATCCAGGCACCTCCCGCGACCTTCACCAGATCGTTGGTCTACCTAGTGGGAGGCCTGCCCACCCACACTACGTCTTCCGGCTCGTGGTCGCCACTCGAGAACTTTTTTGTTATCTTTAACGACGATATGGCACGTCGAGCTAAATACTGTGGCAGCCTTTTTTTTAAACGCGGAGGAAATGTTCGGGCATAATAAAATCTAACCAGTGAAGGTGAAATAAATCTGTCATTTTAATTTTATTACATTAAGAGTCGACTGAATAAAAAGATCTGATTAAAAATTAATTAATAAATAATAAAACGATAACTTTTTTGGGCATAAATGTCTGAGCCAATTACTTGCATTAGATATTGTAAATAATAAATAATCTAAACTGATGTAATTAAATGTACAAATAGATCGATCATAAAAATATTGCCGAGTTAATAGTTAGTATCTAATATGTTCATTTAGAATTTAAGTCAGTAAGTGAAGATACCAAATTGACAACATTTCAAGAATTTTCTGAATCTCTCCATCAAGTTAGGGGATACAGACCAAGAGCTTCCTCGTCGTGGATGATAAAATAAAAATATAATACCTACCTACCTACAATAAAAATAGATCGCACATTATCTTGTGAAGGAAACCTTAAAAAACTTAAAGCATGGCCCACGCAGTCACTCAAACAATATTTTTAAAACTAGGCCATGCAGTCCCCAAAAAATACTTTTAACGACGTGTGAAACGTTTTGCCTCCAAGGCTCCAACAAATTACCAATAGATCGAAATTTCCCACCGATCTTATTAGACCATGACCTAAAATACCTTCGTATTCTACACGGTAACATTGTTTCTCTCACCATGAATGATGCAACGCGATACTAACTCCCATTATCGGATAAAGAAAAAATAGAAAGTTGTTTAAGCTTAGAGCGATGTGCGGATAGAAGACTCTATTTTTCACACCTCCTCCGAGACCGAGACAATAAAAAGCAAGACAAGTTTTTAAAGTTTCTATTACTTTGTCTCGACCTTTTTGCTTGCCATGGTGGTCATGGCCAACTGTGATTAAATTGACCAAATCATGAAAGAGAGAACGAGATCTTAGTCTTAGTTGAATTGAAACTGATTACCTTAAATGGATAAAATTATTTTTTTCTTAAAAATTGTTAGATAAGTAGTAGATTCACTCGTTGAAAAGAGAAACAAGAAACGAGATTTTACGCAAAAGTGTATTTTATCAAAGTAATTATCGCTTGTTACTAGTCGTACATAACGTAAAGTACAGAGACTATTTTTATAACAACTTCCAATCGTGAGAATTAACGTGCGAGCAAAGACATGGTTTTTGTAGCCATTTTTCATACTTTAGAACAAGTTAATTATATCCCATTCATTTTAATTGTCTCATTAGAAAAGTCCTAAAAAGTGAATAACATTTTTAATAGATTCGCACCACTTTTTCTTCAGTGTTCATAATTATTATTCATTTTTTTTCGTAACTAACTTACTGAAATCAAGTTTTTCGCGACACATGACAACGGTTACGTAGGTACTTACTTAAATTCATTAGTTACATTACATTTCAGAGGGTTTATTATGATATGCCTACTGCTCAGTTTTTACCGTTTTTTTAACCAGCGTGTAATATCAGGCAAGGTCTAACAATGGATTCAATTCTAATTCCTTAGAGTTGTTTAAGTCTCTACCTCTGTTTTAAACGGTTTGGAATTTAGCGAAGTGATCACGAAGTCGAATGTCATATACTCGTACTTTAATTGTCTAGAGACCCTGTTGTGGTTGAGTAAAAAGCAGGCTCAATGCAGCAATTGGAGCACACAGTGTGACGCAATAAGTGAAAGGGAAAGGATTAAGGTTTGGACAGATGACAACTATTACGCAGATTACAGACCACTGACTGCTTTCAGATCAATGCACTATTTATTTATTCAGTGCCCTAAGCACGAATAAAATTCATCTCGTTATGGTATGGTAAATTGGTTTTTTGTATAAACAAAATTACGTTTACCTACACACTAGTATTATATTATCTGTGCCTACACTTAACCTACGTTTACGAGAGTTATTCGTGCTCAGGGCACTGAATACTGATCTCTAGCAAGCTCAATACTCCAAATTTTAAACTTTCGGATTCCATTTCAATTAAAATAATAAATAATAAGAGCTGGAAGACGTAGCGTGGGCAGGCCTCCCACTAGGTGGACCGACGATCTGGTGAAGGTCGCGGGAGGTACCTGGATGCAAGCGGCACAGGACCGGTCTTTGTGGAAATCCTTGGGGGAGGCCTTTGTCCAGCAGTGGACGTCTTTCGGCTGAAACGAACGAATAAATAATAAACGTCGCGTTAAGACCCGTGTCTTACTATTTTAATCGATACTCCAGATTTGTTTGTAAGAGATGTACTGAATTATGGAATTAATAAATTAATGTTCGAGTTCATAACACGGCCCTAGAAGCTCCTGTCTTGTACGTCTACGGTTGTCTTAACCAACACTATGTAAAGTACGAGTCAGTAAGTTTTGCCTCAATGACAGTTAATACGACAATATCTAGTTCGCATAGTAAAAGTATCGGCAAATTAAGTATTTCTCAACTAACGCGCCGCTATGCAGTTTGTCGGCGCGTACGCATGGCATGACGCCGGATGCGCGGCGTAAGTAAACGCTGTCATTGGTTTCCAAGCTTGTGGTGGTCTACGCTTGAAGAACTATCGATGGGGTAATAAAATAAGCAGGCTGTTTACCATACTGAATGCCTTGTTGCGAAAATAGACCTCCCGTGACACAATTAATAAATATGAAGCTCGCGCCAAACCCTCGCGCCTCGGTGACTATCAACTTAGAACTATGTAAGTAACTAGTTAGGTTTGTATATTGAAGTAAGTAGGAAGTATTCCTTCTACATAATGACATACCTACTTAGGTAATTAATAATAATAATAATAAAACCTATAAATAAGCAAGACAGATTTACAAAAAACGGAATGACAGTCTTAAGCTAATTACATGCTATGGTGGATTGTGAATTATTGCTTTAGTTTTTGGCTCACTTGCTCCAACTCCAGACATTATAGAGAAACTCGGCATTTTGTTTTCTAAACAGTTTAAAAAATAGAGCAGTTAACTGAGTAGACTTATACATATTATGTAGTAGAAAACCAACTAGTAGAACATCCACAGAAACCAAAAATACCGTAAACGGCTATTTCTCATCNCTACTCAGTTCGCCGTTTCCCGCCTACCGAATTTTTACCGTTTTGCTATTCCTACCTACTTTTAACCAGCGTGTTTGTCAGGCAAGGTCTAACAATGGATTCAATTCTAATTCCTTACCTCTGTTTTAAACTGTTTGGAATTTAGCGAAGCGATCACGAAGTCGAATGTCATATACACACTTTAATTGTCTAGAGACCCTGTTGTGGTTGAGTAAAAAGCAGGCTCAAAGCAGCAATTGGAGCACACAGTGTGACGCAACAAGTGAAAGGGAAAGGATTAAGGTTTGGACTGATGACAACTATTACGCAGATTACAGACCACTGACTGCTTTCAGATCAATGCACTATTTATTTATTCAGTGCCCTGAGCACGAATAAAATTCATCTCGTTACGATATGGTATACTGTTTTTTTGTATAGGTAAACAAAATTACGTTTACCTACACTACTCGTATACCTACGTTTACGAGAGTTTATTCGTGCTCAGGGCACTGAATACTGATATTCTAGCAAGCTCGATACTCCAGATTTGTTTGTAAGAGATATAGGTACCTACTGAATTATGGAATCAATCATTTATGTTCGAGTTCATAACACGGCCCTAGAAGCTCCTGTCTTGTACGTCTACGGTTGTCTTAATAAACACTATGTAAAGTACGAGTCAGTAAGTTTTGCCTCAATGACAGTTAATACGACAAGATCTAGTTCGCATTAGTAAAAGTATCGGCAAATTAAGTATTTCTCAACTAACGCGCCGCAATGCAGTTAGTCGGCGCGTACGCATGGCATGACGCCGGATGCGCGGCGTAAAAGCTGTCAGTGGTTTCCAAGCTTGTGGTGGTCTACGCTTGAAGAAATATCGATGGGGTAATAAAATAAGCAGGCTGTTTACCATACTGAATGCCCTGTTGCGAAAATAGGTCCTCCCGTGACACAATTAATAAATATGAAGCTCGCGCCAAACCCTCGCGCCTCGGTGACTATCAACTTAGAACTATAAGTAACTAGTTAGGTTTGTATATTGAAGTAAGTAGGAAGTATTCCTTCTACATAATGACATACCTACTTAGGTAATTAATAATAATAATAATAAAATCTTTATATAAGCAAGACAGATTTACAAAAAACGGAACGACAGTCTTAAGCTAATTACATGCTATGGTGGATTGTGAATTATTGCTTTAGTTTTTGGCTCACTTGCTCCAGACATTATAGAGAAACTCGGCATTTTGTTTTCTAAAAAGTTTAAAAAATAGAGCAGTTAAGAGTAGACTTATATATTATGTAGTAGAAAACCAACTAGTAGAACATCCACAGAAACCAAAAATACCGTGAACATACCAATTTTCGGCCTCAATGCGAATAAGTATTGAGAATAAATTAACACCAACCTAAGACCTGTCCGAAAGTGGACGCAACACGTTTTCACTTTCTGTCCATTCAGCTCACGAACGCGGCCCATTGTGCATGCTAATGGCCGTGGAACTTCCCTGTCCTTGCGTGTGATTAATCCTGGTTGCGATGGAGAATCGCACAATGGGGTTATGACATAGGGGCTAGGGCAGTGGTACCCAACATGGTGGTAGGCCCCTATGGACCGCTTTAATGGAGTTTGGCAATGTTGCAAATATGAATATGACAGTCTAGACACCCTGTATCCTGTATAAATGTGTTATGGTGTATAACAAAAGTAAATGGAGGTTTCATAAAGTCCATAATGAATTGTATATTAATTAGTGGCGTAAGTTAACTATGGCAGAGGCCCGTGGCAAATTCTAGGGTTTTTTTTCGGGGTGCCCCAGGACCAACTCTCTGAAGTAGCGCAATAGAACATCAGTTGCAGTACCTATAGCAGGCAGAAGTCGCGTAGGTCTAGCCTAGAGATGTCCTATTATTTCCAACTAAAGTTACATCTTAATAAATACTTTATTACCAGAGTCGACGACGAATGCGGAAAGATTACAATTGTTTTATTCAAGCCTGCTAAACGTTAAACGATTAATTAGTTTTACACGATGCCATACTAATTAATTTGACATAAACCTACTTTAAAGTTAGATGCAAGCTAATTGGTAATGCATGATGCATCGCAGGTCAGTGGTTAGGAGAAAGAAGAATTTGACAATCAAACAATTACTTAGTCATCAATGCAATGTATGCCAATGCATTGAGGTTGATCAATATTTCGATTGGTGAGTGACTTAACTTCTAAAAGGTATCAAGGATTTGTTTACAATGAGTAAGTAGTTTTATTTCAGCGCTACTTTATACGACTGATTTTTTCATTTTAAATTACAATTCGTTTCGTTAACCAGATAAGCTTCACCTGATTGCCTTTGCATGCCCCTACTAGTGTACTGGATAATTTTCCCCCAAAAAGTAGATTTTTAGAACCATTTTTTCGACAGTTATGATTTAAAACAGAAATTCTTCAGATTAATTAAGTACTAAGTACCGGTATGTACAGTCACGGAATGAAAAGGTTCGTCAGTTTTCAAATTGATTCCTTCAACGAATCGCGAGCACATATTACCTTTTGAAACTATGTTACAGAATAATCTCGAGTTAGAGAAAATAATCTTTAAACTGTTCGTCAGTTAAGTTCAAAATTATTCTNATGTAATCGCCTTAAATCTTTTTTTTTTGTATGTGACTGAAAGCAAACGAGCAGTAAGTGATTACCGCCGCCCATAGACACCCGTAGTCACGGGGGCGTTACAGGTGCTCTTAAAGCCAGACCAGCAGCGGCTATCACCTACAACTACATCAGCGGTGTCCTAACGTGTCGACATTGTTCGCGCACGTTTACCAACAAGATTGGCTACTGTAGCCATGTGAGGGCACATGATAGGGCAGCCCAGCGTAGCCCTCTTATTGCGGACTAAAGGAATTTTGTCGCAGTTACCGTAGCCGAAAGCGGCTTGGGAGTATATATATATATATATATACAGGTGCTTCACCGCGGCCTTAGGGGCTACGCTTAGGGTTAGTGGCAATATTATCGATATTTTAAGTTACGTTTCGATAAGTATATTATTGCAACAAAAGCTGTCAAAAATAATTTATTTAACCAAAAACTTTTTATTTATTTCTAGTCTTGATACTATTGACTCGTAGCAAAACTATCGATACTGTTAGTTTTGCCCTCAGATCATAGAAAGAGAATAGATATGAAGTCNCCGCTCGGACACCGAGCCCACAGCGTGGTAGGGGTGGGGTTGCCCGCTCTTTTGTTTTTTAATACTACTACGCTGAATATTGTGTGCGGATTGGGTTGTCGTACAGGGGTACTACTACATGGTAAAATAAATCTCTTCGGCGAAAACAGGATAATTTAGATCGAACTTCACTTGGTAAGTTCGTTTGATCATTCAAGTGGCAGTTGTAAGGGAGCTTTGTGTCTCAAGTCTCCTATGCCCGTTTTCACCATCAATCCCTAATTTTTAAGTGACCGCTATGTAAACAAAATTCCTGTTATTTGTTACCATAGGGGTCACTCAAAATTCCTGTTATTTGTTACCATAGGGGTCACTCAAAATTCCTGTTATTTGTTACCATAGGGGTCACTCAAAAATTAGGGATAGATGGTGAAAACAGGCACTAATCCCTTACCTGGCGCAGTCGGCGGGCGTGAGGCCCTCGTGGTCGCGCGCGGTGGGCTCGGCGCCCCACGCCGCCAGCAGCTCGGCCTGCGCCGGCTGCCCCGCGCGGCACGCTACGTGAAGGCACGCGGTTCCTTTCTCCTGTAGATAAATTGTGGTCGATTTGTTTTATCATAATGGGCATGTTGGAAAAAAGTGCGGCACGGCAGCACACTACTCGTGTGCCCGCCACAGATATTTCTATGTAAAACGACGCAGCGACACCGCTCCAGCGTCGCACCGCCTCCGCAACGCATCGGGTGCTTTGGCTCTTACTTAAACGCCGGCGCATTTAATAAATGTGTGGTGAGCACAGGCCTTTAGACAATTATTTTATTGCAGGAAAAAACAATAGATAATTAATACAATAGAAATAAATTATGGATTAATTTTCTTTCAAATCAACACTAAAAGTTCACAAATATTTTTTCTACCACCTATATTAAAGCCTTCAAAAACACAATAGACACTAAAATCAATTCTTAATAGATGCTTCTGAATCATAGAATAAGTAGGCTTATTTTCAGCAGGAATCAAATATTTCAAAGAAATAAAAATCTAACCTCTTTTTGGAATGTTTATTATTAACATCCTAGTGTTTCTTTTTTGCTGGACATATTAAAAAGTAATAAGATTTGTTCATTATTACAAGTTACTACACTAGGTACTACATGTTCATCTTCATTTATATCAGATGGATGAAAATAAAAATCTAACCTGATTGTAATAGTTAGGGTCGGCGCCCTGAGCCAGCAGCCTCATGGCCGTGTCCAGGGAGGAGCTCCTCACAGCGCTGTGCAGCTGGCGGCCCAGCTCACTCGGAGGCTCATCGCGTCTGGCTCTCAGTACATACGCCAGCCGCAAATGTTTCGCCAAGATAAATTCTGATTTTGTTGGGCTAAAGTAAAATTCATAAGCATAAAGTGCAGTTTCCCAGCAATATTAATTAAGACTGAAGACAGACTAAAGATAAAGTTATTTACAAAAACATAAATGTCTAGGTAATGCATATTATAGTTCCAAAATACTGGACTGTCCTGTCGATGACATTGACAGTGGGGCGCCACCGTCAATACCGGATCTCTGGTTCAGATTTTTGCCATGTTGGAAACCATATAGTTGAACGATGGTAGCGCCCCCCTGTCATTGAGTTTGGTGGGACAGTTCAGCGTGGGTCATCTATACAGAGTGTACTTTATCACATGATCAACTTTTTTAGACATTAAAACAGTCTATTGAAATCATACAAATAAAGAAAAAAATATAATTAAGTTCTTTAAACAGACAAAATTTTGGAAACATGCTTTAAATGACTTACTGTAATGGATCCTTAGCCTGGGGTTTTTTACGTAAATGCTTTGGTGCTGAAGTGTCGAGCAAAGAGTGTTCCCATATGCTATTTACATTTTGAGCTGTCAAGGCCTGCACCATCTGTTTGAGCAAAAATATTTAATAGAAGTTATACAGAAAGCACAAGCTTTTCATTAACAAATACGTGGGCTGTAAGGTTAGCATTCATACCGCTAAAAGCGAAGGTGGCCAGGATCCTTGGCGCAAAGATTTAACGTGAGATATATGTCTTCCCATGCTACGGTGAACGCTGCAGCACTCGGCACATAACAACAGCCCACGGTTGATGGACGCCCATGATGGATCTGAACAGAAATAGCACTTATTACACACCCGAAATGCCACCACAGAACACTCTAAACCATTAAAGGAAACTGGAACATCGTTACGACCTGAAGCTCCACAATCGGCACAAACTTCCACCGAAGAGCGGTGTTTAGAACGTGATATCATCATTTTTAAGCAATTTTGGAAGACTCTACTTGATAATAATTAGTGTAACGTTACGCTAATTACACTAAATTAGTTCAAAACTTCAAAAGTTTATTTGATACAAAAATAAACCATTTTCCTGAGAAATATTGAAATGAAATGTCAATTAATGTCTTTTTTTTTTTTTTTTTTTTTTTTTTTTGTGGCTCGCACGGCTTGTGCATTTGCCAATGACGGGGTGTAAAGGTTGGGAAACGGATTTTAAAGGAAAATACCCGGGAAGAGCGAAAATTTTGAAGGATCAGGCAGGAATGGTGTTATTGTTTACAGGATAATAATAACTAATCATATTACTATGTACATTAGATAGAAAAATATGTTTATGACAAAAAGGATAAAATATAGCCGTATCAGACTATATTTTAATATCACAAGTAATAATAAACATAGATATACATTTATATATATTTACATCATTAGAGGATAACAGACAAATTATGGATGTAGGTAGTTGGACACGGAGGGATATTAATGACTGGATAAAGGAGGAGCAATCATATTTCTGGCAGGCAAAAAAGATATGATTTAGATCGCCTACTTCATCTCCACATTCACAAGTATCATCAGCGATAATGTGAATTCGTGCCAAATGTTGAGGTGTACACACATGTCCCAGTCTCATACGAATAAGAGTTGTAGTAGCAATTTTTGGTAAATAGGATTTGAAAAACCATGGTTTAATTGGAATAGTTGGTTGTATCTGTTTATAATGTTTTCCTTTGGTCTGACTACTAATGCTCCAGTCCTGTTCCCACGATTGACGAAGATACACTTTAGGTAGAGCTACTAAATCGTGACAGTAATTTTTGTATGGGAAATTGTCACCACTAGACACCGCATCATTCGCATAATGATCAGCCTTGACATTTCCCGTTATGTTGCAATGGCTTGGAATCCATACAAAAGCTACTTGTAATCCCAAAGAAATACATTTATGAAACAAGCTCCTACATTTCATAATTACTGGATAAAAAATGTTAGATTTAAAGGGGTACTTAGCTAAGGCCTGAAGGGCACTTTTAGAATCTGAGAAAATTACAGACTTTTTAAGTTTCATCAAAAGAATATATTCTAAGGATTTGAGTATACCAACGCATTCCCCAGTAAATACTGAAGACTCAGGGGGTAATTTTATCATTTGATGGATTTTATACTGATGATGAAAAACACCTACTCCAACAGGACCATCCTGGTAATGTTTTGAAGCATCGCAATATAAATGATGCCAATCAAACCAGTCGTTTTCTAATATTAAATTAAACTTTAAGTTAGCATATCTGTCCATCTTAGATATATTAATATCGAAGGAAATATTGAGGGATAATACTAATGAATCATAATCTGAAGAGAATATTGGGAGATAAAGTGATCTATGCGTAGGTGCTTGAAGAGATTTAAATTTTTGAAAGCTAATTACCAAACATGGAGGGTTTTTATGTGTCCAATACGAAGAAGATTGAATATATTCGGATAAAGTTAGTAATCTGTGATAAAGGGGGTGTTGAGATAATTGCAAAGCACGAAATAAAAATTTATCACTAAGAAACTGTCGCCGAAGTCTTAAAGGAGGATCCACGCATTCTAATTGTAAAGCATTATTGGGACTTGATTTCATTGCACCTACAACAGTACGTAGTGCTTTTGTTTGTATGACATCTAGTTTTCGTAAACCAACCACGCTGCAAGGTTCCAGGAATTGTGTTCCATAGTCAAGAATGCTTCTGATGATTGCATTATAGAGAAGTTTTAGTGAAAACGGATGAGCTCCCCACCATACTCCCCGCAGACATCTTAGAATATTAAGTAAGCGTTCGCATTTTGCACTAATATAATAGAAATGTGAAAGTCCTGTTAACTTTGAATCTAAAATGACTCCCAAAAATTTAGCTTCGTTACTTATCGGCATTTGGATGTTATCATAAGAAATTGTAATTGGTGGTGGACATCTCATTCGAGTGAAAAGAACAACCGAACTTTTAGGTACGGATAGAGTCATGCCGTTATTATCTAACCACAATTTTAAAACTGAAAGATTATGGTTCAAAGTATTACATAAGATTTCAGTATTCTTTCCAGATATATACAAAACTAAATCGTCAGCGTATTGGAGTACGCTAATGTCATTACTAAAGGCAGATTCTAGATCATGTGAGTAAATATTAAAAAGAAGAGGGCTTAAAACGGAACCTTGAGGGAGCCCATTCCATAATAACCTCGTTCTTTTTTCCAAGTCTTCATTAAAAATATGTACACTTCTTCCGACTAAGATATTTACAATAAAATTTATTAAAATCACAGGAACCTCTAATTTATACAATTTTTCTACAAGTACGGACAACACTACGTTATCGTACGCGGCGGAAATATCTAGAAAAGCTGCTAACAAATGTTCATTAATCGAAAACGCTAGTCTTATGTCAGTGGTGAATATTGCAATGCTATCTGACGTGCTCCTACCTTTTCGAAAACCAAACTGACTATTGCTTAGAAATCCTTTATTCTCCACATACCACTCTAATCGGTTTTTAACTAAGTGTTCCGCAATTTTAGCCATAACCGAAGAAAGAGCTATTGGGCGATATGATTCTGCCTCTGAGGGGCATTTATTTGGTTTTAGTACAGGGAAAACTTCTTGAACTTTCCATGAAGAGGGTATATTTCCAGTAAATATTATAGAGTTAATTAAATTCAAAAAATAATTCAAAGATGAATCCGAAAGCTGAGTGAGAAAAGAGTAAGGAATTCCATCAGGACCAGGTGATGAGTCCTTGACGTAAGAAAGAACACCTTTAAGTTCAATTAAACTGAAGGGAGCATTTAGTCCAGATTGTACGTTATCTGACATAGACATAACCAAGGGAGTAATTAATTCCGGGACAGATGATGGAGCTAATCTATCTAAAAATTTCTCGGTTAACGATGTAGGGAGAACCTTTGGGGTGGATTCTTTAAAAGCTGACCTAAATCGTCTAATGTTCGACCAAATTGCAGATGAAGGCGTATCTGGAGAGATGGAAAAGCAGAAATTCTTCCAACTTTCCCATTTCTTTTGTTTAAAAAGTTTTCTTGTACTAGCAGTAACTTGCGAAAGATATTGAAAATTTTCTTCAGTCGAGTCCGAAACATACTTTTTTTCAGCTGCCTTTCTTTCTTTAATAGCACCAGAGCATTCAGAGTCCCACCAAGGGGGAGCAGGTAACTTATTACGAGCAGGATTTTTTGAAGGAAAGGTTTCGTCAGCAGTCTCTAACAATAACGAAGCTAAAGCCTCCGCACATTCGCTATGATTGGTATTAATTATAGGAGGCAGTGACGAAACCTTTTCTTGAACTCTTTCTTTAAATAAATCCCAATCGGCGTTTTGTAATTTGTGCTTTTGGCGTGGTGGACGAGCAGGATATATCTTTTGGTCAGTTGGAAAGGTTATAGATATCGGATAGTGATCGCTTCCGTATGTAGAAGGTAAGGTCGACCACGTTAGAGAGGACGCAAGGCTGGGATTGCAGATAGTGAGATCAGGAGCACTCACCCCTTCGTCAGGAAGGGTGCGCCGTGTAGCATTTCCAGTATTTAGGAAACATAAATTATTTCTATCCAAAAAGTCAAGAATGCGATTTCCATAGTGATTAGAAGTAGTACTTCCCCAAGATTGGTGTTGAGAGTTAAAATCCCCCATTATTACAACAGGTTTAGGTATTGCACTCAAAATTGGTTCGATTTCATCAAAAATAGAAGTTGAGGGATGTGGAATATATATTGAAACAAAAGAAATATTATTTACAGAAGCAGCGATAATCGAAAAATCATTACTATGCTGCGGAATAGGAATATGTACAAATGGTATTGGGTGCCTTATAAGTAGGGCAACCCCACCATAGTTGTCAAAACGGTCTTCTCGAATACAAGAAAAACCGGAAATTTTAAAAACAGAGTCAGGCCGAAGCCAAGTTTCTTGTAGAGCTATTATAAATGGATCTATGGAATTTATTATATAATTTAAGTCGCTTTTCTTATTATTAATGCTCCTGCAATTCCACTGCACTATTAGGGACTTTTTCCCCATAAACAGTAGAAATATTATTTACTAGTACATCATTTTTCGGTATGGCAACGTTGGACGGTAATATGTTGTTATGTGTCAAAGATGTGATAAGCGCAATGATAAGGTCTCTAATAGGGAGGTTAGAAAGTGAACTGTTTGTATCATTATTTAGAATGCTTCTACTGGGGGAGATAGGAGTATTGTAGTCTTTAGTTAGTGCTTCGTGTTCATGACGATCATAACCTTTACCAGGCCTATGCGGTGTTCTAGGTTTTATGAAAACTGTTTTCTTATAAGACGAGTTTAAAGTGTTCTGTTTATTATTATTATGTGGTTGCTGTGGGCTGAGAGGAATCAAAGGATTTTGTTGGCTAGAACGCCCCGATACCAAAACGTCAGCGTATGACTTTGATATCGGAGGATGTAATTTTAGTGCCTCTGAATAAGTTATGCAGCTTTTAGCCATGGATTCTTTGATGCTTCTTTGCCTATCATACTCAGGACATTTCCTACTTGTGGCCATATGAAGTCCAGAACACAAGAAACAGGATATATTTTCCTCATCAACATCACAAGTGTCACCTGTGTGTCCCATTCCACATTTAAAACACCTTGCTAATGATCGGCATTGACTCTTTACATGTCCATATCTGCAGCACTGAAAACACTGTATTGTGGGGTAAATATACAGGTCCACAGGAAGCGAGTTGTAGCATAGGAATACTCTTTTTGGTAAAATCTGTCCATCAAATGTCACTACAACAGTTTCAATTGGCACAAACTCAGTTTTGCCAATAGAAGTTGTCTTTTTCTTTAAGCGCCTTACCTTTATTATATTTCCACATCCTGTAGGAACACTAATATTATTTATTATATCCTCATCACTCCAGCCCACAGGTACACCTCTGATGACTCCCATCCGTGTCACATTAAATGTGGGTATGAATGCTTTGTAAGTATTTGATTTCAGCAAGTTACTGTTGAGGAAAGCGTTGGCATCCTCAAAGTTGGAGAATGCAATTGAAATTCTATTCCTACCTATCCTTTTAAGACTGCCATTGACAATATTTTTAATATTGTTTCTTTTGAGAAAATGCCCAAATGATACGGGGTGTAAGGTGCAATTTTCGTTTGGAGAGGATTGTTCTTTTTGCACATGAACTGTGTAAGGGGCTAAGTCAGTAGCTACATAAAGGTCTCTTCCTACAGGAGTACGTGTTTCACTAGAACCTGGAATTTCACTAGTCTTTTGACCTGGGACAAGTGTATCACCTACTTGTGAAGAATCAGTAGGAGTTGAAGCGGTTTGCGTTAGAGTAGCAAGTTCATTGATACATTGGCATTCAAATTCACTAGCAGTGCCGCCTAAGTTAGATTTTCGATTCCTTCTCCGTTTTTTGTTGCAGTGTTTACAAACTTTTTGCACAGAGGAACGTTTACGTTTATTCTTTGAAATGACATTATTTCCAGACCCATCCGTGTCAAATAATGATCCATCGGTTTCCATATCGGTTAAATTATTAGAAATCGTAACAAAATTGGACGCCTGGGGGACTACGCCTCCCCCAGGGTCGTCAGGTTCACACATCACGAAAAAATCAAAATGCAATGACTTACCGAATAACTGATGAAATTACATTGATCCATTATCTGTATCCATCGTTTGTACCACATTTAAAGCAAATAAATGATGATTCAGATTCTGATTCAGCTAAATGCTCTCATTTTAAATGTGACACATAGCCCCTTCTTGCTGAAACTAAGTGTTCCTGTTATAGCCTCGATTCTTGCAGTATACTGAAAATATGATACAATAAATAATAGAAATGAGTGTTTTTCTTTTTGCAAAGGGTTATTAAGAGTACTTACAGCCTTTTATATGACGCTATATATTTGTGTACAAATATATCATTGCAAGATGTTGTTTTTTTGCTATTTTACACATCTTTTCTAATTACCGTTAGATTAAGTATTAGCCTTATCTAATTACCGTGACCATAAAATTTTTGGGTCTCATTTACGCGAAAACCGCTTTGAATAATTTGACGCCTTTACTATTGTTAAATTCGTACTTTTGATGTGTTTTATATTTAAATGCGTTTAAGTCAATTAAGCCAAATTTCAAAAATAATATGGTAATTAGGCTGAGAACGCCTAATCGTGAGAATGACCGAAGTACAGCATTCATAAACCCCCACCCTTTACCCTGATATTAAATTAACTGAAATTTGAAAATACCCGAAAAACAAGCAGGCGATATAGAGTTTTGCTATTATGTTCCTTTAGTAAAAAGCTGTTATTATTTAATTGAAATAGAGACTCTAATTTAATTTAATCTTACACATTTCTAGTTGGCATGCCTACAGCTAACTTATCCATTCCAAGTTTCGAACGCGCAAAATCGAATGCATCAAGATGTTACGTGCTCGCTACTGGAAACGAACTCATCGCAACATTCTTAACTATCTCAACGCCCGTTAAATGAACTGCAAACACTCAGCACTCGTTATCAGATGCTGGCAACGATTCCTGATAGAAGCACTCTCGTTAAAGTCAACTGAAAGAGGGCACTGCAGGTGGGGTCAGAAATCTCACTCAACATTTTACACCTCAAGTAATAAAAAATAAAGTTACAAATAGATAAAACTGGTTAAAAATTACGTTTGGTATTATGATGTTATTTTGATTAATAATTATTAGGATTAATCAACACGTCGCGGCGTCGTGTGTATTTTTTTTATTATTGTGTTGAAGATGGCTGACGACGCCACTTGAAATTAAAATGGCATAGTTTTTAAAAATGAAACTTAAAACTTTTTAAATAAAGAAAAACGATATTTTAGTTGAACTTGTAACAAAATAATCAAGAGAAATTCCAATTTGACGATCGAGTTTCATATAATAACTAGTCTACTCGCAAAATAACAGATGACAAACAAAGCTGTACATTTAAAATAGAAAAATGCAACGGACATAGTACATACGATACATTTATCTCTTCTGAAAGTTCACATTATAGTAGACCTACCCATTATAGTTACATTATGACCAAAGTCAGTTGCAGCGGCGTTGCATGAGGTATTCCCGCTGCGGCGGCGACATTCGACGCGAACCGATGATATTCTACCCGCATTTCTTGCGAGTTTGGAATTTTAAACTTTCCGATTGAAAACCTTTGTAGATACTGTGGATTTGCAAACGAGGTGTCGGATTTTGCTACTTCAGTCTTGTCGAATATTGGCCAAATGAAAGATATTTTATTGGTAGACATGATTTCCGTGAATTTAAACTTAGTTACATTTCCCTAATCAGATAAGAAATTATTGTAATAGTGTGTAACATACAATGGTGTTTAATGAAAACACTCATTTTTGTATGTTTTTCATTTGTCCTGCTATTCTCTCTATCATAAACGTAATTAATGTAGCTATTTCAGCTCTTAGGTCCGTATAAGAAAAAAAATCTCAGCAACAAATAAAGGCTCAAAATAAGATTTAAATAATGATCTTTAAGTTTTCTTGAAACGAAGTGCAAAAATTGAATAATTTAATAAACATGTTTAAATTTATTCAATTATGCAACGCGTAAGTTGATAATTCATTATTGAAGTGCAAAAAGGTGAAGAAAAACACATTAAACACACTGTCAAGAACGAGAGTGCGGCCTAAAGACACGTTTATCTCATTCACCCTGGAGCCTCCATAACTGAACAAGTTCGAACAACGCACGGCATAACTTAACCAATTTATTGTTTAAAACTAATCAATGCCGTAAGAAATTACAAAGTTTCCCAAATTACAAGTTTTAAATTAATATAAACTTCAAATCTTTTGGGACACAACTTGTAAATAGAATAATGTTGTTTATATTTGGAAAATTAGGGGTTTTGAATAAAGAAAACATGGTTTAAATAACTGTCTAGGCTAACACAAAGTTGGTAATTAGAGTAGGTAGGTATTCCCAAAGGACGCGTATTGTGAAGTACCTACCTATAACAATATTTAAACATTTAAAAGAGTGTTTCGTAAGTTTGGGTCTGTGTGAGAGAGTGATTTAGATATGAAAATATAGAAATAGATGTAAGCAGATTCATTACATCGAAGAGAAAAATATCCCTTCTAACCCACCGCACTACCAAACCACACTACCAGTAGTGTCGTGGGGAATATTTTTTCCCTTCTGCACTACCAAGCCAGTAGTGTCGTGGGTAACATACATCTTCATTCCCATCGACACTACTACCATAACTAAACTCTTCAAAACTCTTTATAAATCTCAATACAAAATAGCTTTTGACTCAAAGTTGTCTCCTGCTTCCTCACTGCGAAAACTCTATCACACACAACCTTCTTCCTTCTTTACATCAAAGTTTGACATACACTGTCATCCAATACTGCACCCACTTGTCAAACATATCAAAAATACCGTAGATCCAAAGAAAAATACAGAACCAAAATTCGCAGTATAAATTTTTGATGTGCCTGATCTGTTGCCCGCTTTGCCCTTGGATATCCTGGCTTCCGCTTTTCATCCTTTGTCCCTGGATCCTTTGTGTCCCAAGCCTTTGTCCAGTTTGCATGCTATTCTTACCAGCATTCTGTTTCATGTGGTACGAAGATGAGCCTTAAAGACTAAGCACAAAAACCAAGCACAAAAAACCAAGCTCAATTTTTGCAAGCTCGAAAACGGAGGCTAAAAATCAAAGCAGATGTGTCTTATGTCCATAATATTACCGTTGTTAGTGAGTCCATTCGTGTCGTGCATACCGTGTTGTGATTGCTGCTTCAACTGTATAGTGCCAAACGAGAAGAAAGACGAATTTGGTTGAAGCTGATAAAATAACCAAGCAAGCTTGAGCTTAGTTTGGTACAAACTTGATAATAAGCAAGCAAAACAAATAAGAAGAAAAAGAATACAGAATATATAAAATTGAAAGCGAAGAACGGAAAAAATAAATAATTTGATAACCCAATCTGAGCTTAGTTCACTCCAAAGTTAAGGCTCAAGACTGATGTTTAAGCTTACTTACTAATTTTAAATGTGTATGTGCGTACCATGTCTATTTTGCCCGTTTCTTTTTTCTCCACTTATTGCGTGCTTTCCTATCTTATGTCCCTCTTGCCTGGAAAGCATTCGTGTTGATGACGACCAGCCGCCCAAACCTGAAAATAGGGTGACGTCACCACAGGAGGACGTGACGTCACCAACACAGGTGGCATCACCGTCAGAGCCCAGGAGAGCTGATACAACTATTGTATATAGAGTATGTTACGTGAAAGATGATAAATAAAGTGAATTCTTGAATGCCTTGTTTTCTTTATCTTATTTACTCTATCAGTGGTATATGGGCAGCACATCTGACTATAATGTATTTTTGTTGCGAAATAGCTTTTATTTACAACAAAATAAAATACATTATTTTCTTTGAATTTTGTGCATTCTTTATGGTAACTTTTCCTAGTTTTACTGCGGTATTTAGTCTCTACTGCAGAAACACGAGCCTCTAATTTACCAGAGACAGAATGTAGGCCAAAATCCTGATGTCCCATATTATGTGTCCCATACTTAGTCGCCTTTTGCGACATCAATCGGAAGAGTTATGTGGTCTTATTACCTATACCACAGAATAATAATACGCCTATACTCTGTTTGCTACATGACAAAAGAATCTAATAAAACTCTCACATAATATTGTTATTTATTTACAAATTCACTTGAACGTAGCTACTATATGGGATGGTGGATTGGCTGCGAAGGCCTGGCCTTCAGGTCTATGGTTTTGCTGTACTCATCTTCCACTTCGAAGCTCACCACTAAGCATTGGCAGCATTTCATACCTTCAAGATAATGAAGAAGCGTTTTATTTTGACATACCCTTTAACTGGTATAGAGAAAAATATTTTTCATTAGTTTTGTACCTTATGTTTTCTCAATAAGGTTCAAAATATGGTGGCAACAATTCTGCCACTACCAGGTAAAGGTTTAAACTACCAAGCAGGTCTCCTACTTGGAGAACTGACGATCTTGTAAAGGTCGCGGGAAGAACCTGAATATGAGTAGCGTAAGACCGTTTATTATGGAAATTCTTGGGGGAAGCCTTTGTCCAGCAGTGGAAGTCTTTGGCTGGAACTAAATATTGCTATAAGAACTTCATTTAGTTGATTACGAGCAAGATGTTCCTTTTTCAATGTGTCTGTCTACTACCGTTACCTAGAACTTATTTAGTTTTAAAAGGCAGATAGTGGTAACTGAGTTTGTTGCACTGTTTCTTCTCAGCACCCAGCACTTATAAATTACCAAGCCAAAGAACGTCTACTGGACAAAGGTCTCCCCTCAAGGATTTTCAGTACGATCGGTCCTGTTCTGCCCGCATCCAGGCGCTTCCCGCGACCTTCTCTAGATCGTCAGTCCATTCACACTAAGTTCAACACAGCACGTCTTTAATAAAAATATAAAAGCGAAAGGTCACTGATTGACTAACTCAT